ATAAATGCGTTTCTTATTTCATTTTGTGATTTATTTCAGAGCATGATTTCAGCGATCGTCAATAACAGCTCCTACTACGCCAACGTCTCCGCCTCTATGTGTCAGGAGTTTGGGCGCTGGTACCAGAGACACCGGGGGCTTAAAGGTAAAAGTAAAAACATGAGCCTAGAACTGGGAACAACATCACTGTCCAATCAGAACCTTAGGAAGAACCCGCGTTAGCCCCGTATTAGACCAACCGATTTCCATTAAAGTACCTCAATGTTCAAATGGAATCTTCGTGAGAAAAGCAAATGGTTTGACTCTTTGTGAAGGTGCTGCCCTGTAGTTTTTACCTCTGGTGACACATCATGGGTGGGAACTAAGCACAGAGAAATATCTAACTCCAAAGTCTTCTATTATTGTCCATGGTACTGTATATATAGAGGAAAGAATTGCTGTTGCCTGGAGATTGAATCTAATTGACTGATGACTGGGGTTTTCACAATTCCCCTTTCACAGCTTAGCAAAATGAGACTGGAAATATAGATTTAGGGATCTATAATAAAGCAGCAAACTCTTGGAAGAACCAATGTACATGTCCTGTTAACTCCTCTGCACATTCTCTGACTATTTTTTATTTGTGAAAATGTTATGTGATAATAAGATTGCCTCTCACATTTGACGCTTTGTCTGAGAGCTGATTGGCTGAGTGAGGGTGGTCCTCTCTTTTCCACTTTCCTGTCTGAAAAAGTTGATTTAAAATTAGTGTTAATGAGTGAGGAACTAGTCAATATTGTATTACATAGTTTATTTGTTGTGGTTTGAAAGTTAGGGACCCCAGCTTTAAGTCCAAGGCAAAAAACAACACCTGTAACTGCTGCTAGTACGTTTAATACCTGTACTATTACTACAACTACTACTATGCCTAAAACTATTACTACAGCTATCACTAAAGCTGCATCTACTACTTCTACAACTACAACCACTACTTTAAGTACAGCTACTACTACTGCTGCTATTTCTACAGCTGCAGATTCTACGACTACTGCTGCTGCCGCTCAATTGTGAATTGTGAAAGGTCAATCGTGAAAAGTCAATATCAAAATATTGTTATGCACGTTAGCTTTAAGTTCTCTGCCATTCTACATATATTTACTCACCTTTCCCCCCCCTTGTTTTAGTATTTTTAAATGTCACTGCCCTTTCAAAAGTCTTAATGCTTTAGTTTTAACATTTCAGCTGTCTCAGTGCTGTCCGCCCCCTTTCTCACACTGTCACTCGTCATTGTATGTAACTGAGTTGAACGCGAGGCCTCACAGTGGGACCTGTCAGAACCAGAGCAGCCGAAAGTCCTAATGGAAAACACCGGGAAGGTAGAAGCACGAGCAATCATGCCAAAACCACAAACAATTTAAAGTTTTCAATCTGCCTCCTGTGGCTAATCGGAAACAGGCTTCGTGGTTCAAAAATAATGGCTGAAAAAAAGTGAGAAATCAGATTATTGGAACATTAGTTGATGTAAGGCATTTTAAATTCCTTCATAACTGCATGTTGTTATTCAAAGCTTATCAATAACAACTGTGAAATGCCAAAATAATACTTTTGGAAGACTGTTTATGTTGGGACAAATAACATGTATTAGCTTGCATGCATTAGCTTGAGAATCCTAAACATAATTTTGCTGGAAAGAATACGCAATATGATTCAAACTTTGCCACATGTCGATCACATATTGTATTAAACCGTATTTAGGACAGTTTCTGATTTCTAGAGTGATAAATAGCTTAGCGTTTGAACACCGGGCACCCATGTTGGTCAAGGAATAATTAATGTCTCCACAAAAATCATTTGTGTAAGAAAGAGCCCTATGAGTCACTATTTGACTCTTTGGGCTGAGAGCTGATTGGCTGAGTGAGGGTGGTCCTCTTGTTTTCACTTTTCTGTCTGAAAAAGCTGAACTAAACATGTGACAGAGGCCAGAAATACATGCATTTGAATAATAATGATTGAACCAAAATATTATGAGGCACTAAGGTTTTATTACATGTAGTTTGATGATTATGTGGTTTGAAAATACCCCAGTTTAAAAGTAGTTCAATAATAATTTTGCCCTTACAGGTGACTGTAATGTGGAGAAGTGGCCAGCACAGGATAAGCCAGATAACTGCAAAGGTATGCCATTGAATTAAACTTAAACATATGTCAATGATGATAGACAGTACAAGATATGATGGAATATGGTCCAGTTAGAAAACCCAACAAACACAGGAACATTGACCTTTTTCATGCTAAACCTCACATCCTCTGTCCTGGTAAGCGATCAGTGGTAGGGGCCGACTTTTTTTCTCAAAATTACTGGTGGTCAGACCTGGTAATAACATACTTAGATTGGGTTTGTACCAGTGGGGGCGGGTCCCAGCTCAAAAGTGGCTAAAATGACGTGCGCTGACATGCTTGCAATGCCACCCCGGGCCGATGGGGGTGGACCCAGAAGAAGAATTAGCCAATGCTAACATATAGCATTGGCAGACCTCTCAAAAACGTCTTTATAGGATGGTCCAAAAGCTGGCTCTTGGCCCAAAGCTCCGTTCCACATGTGTGTCAATACTGAGGGGGGTGAATTTTTTTGGACCACTCTAGTTTACTTGCTGTGAATTTTTGAAGTCTCTCGTTCAAATGAATGGGGCTTGCGCCGGCTGGCGCAAGTGCAGATGCATTTTTTCACAATTTTCTTGTGGGCGGGACCACTCGCGGCCATTTTGGATAGCTCCGGGCCAAAACATTTTTTGGCCCATTAGTTAGAACGGCAGAGATAGGCATGACTCTGTCCGTTAATATATACAGTCTATGGTTTGTACAGGTAAAATTATGTGAATACATCGCCAAAGGAGCACTCCTTAGATCTGTTTTGTTACAATGCTAACAGCTTTGTGCTAAAAGCTATGTGCCATGGATCTCGCTCTATGCTAACGGCTCTATGCTAACGGCTCTATTCTAACGGCTATTAGCTAGCAGAAAATGTCTAAAAAACATCTGCACAAAATGAATACATTGTTATATTACTGTATTTGTATGAAAAACATTTAAAAAACGTATTTAACAAGTTTTCATTGTAGTTTGGTTCTGTGTCTCTCTCACGCCCTACCGTATATTATGGGAGAACTGTGTAACATTTTGGAAATAATTCTCCAAAACAAATCTGCCGACCGCCTAACCCAGATTCTTTTGGGGAATTACATACAGAGAAATTAGTGCGTGATCCCTAACAAGGTTAGAGAGTTTGGAGGAAAAGTAAACCCCTGTAACAGGTGCAGGGGCATAGAATGACGGGATTTGGGAAAGGCCTATGCTGTTCCAGTGCAGTAAATTCTTTAGTATCAATTGAAAAGTTGTAATATGATGTTATGTTAAAGCTGGACTACCTCACTTTTTTTTGTATTCATTGGGGAAATTCAATCCATATCCATGCAGTGCATTGGGATATACGTCCTTTTGAAGAATAAGTAGCACAGGTTTTTTACTGGAGTGGGATTTTATTTTAGATTGAGTTTTCGTGCAACACAGAAGAGAATTTGTTTCAGAACCAGATTGCAACCAATCACAGCGGACCACTGGCCCCCACTTTCTTGAGAAAAGCCACAGGTCTCTCGTTAGCACAGACAGCTGAGGTAAACGAGCATCATGGGTGGAGGTTATAACCTGAAACTTCCCCTGTCTTTGCTACCGGTTACTGCTTATACAACTAAACAGCCATCCAAAACAAAGTCTCGTCCTCTGCGCTTCCAGGTTCTATCATTCTATGGTCATGCCATCCACGATCAAATATGCGATCCATATTGTGAGACGCGAGTTCCGTAAACAACAGCACATGAGCATGTGCATGAGTTTGAGGGGGGGTAGTGGGGGGCAAAGGTTTCGTGAGTGCGGGGAGGGGAGCAGAAAGAGGCCAGCACTTACATTTGAAACTGCTGATTTGAAATCACAAAGTGAGTTATTCCAGCTTTAATAATAGACGTAATGTTCTATTTTGAGGCTGAGACCACACACAAAGACTTCTACGCGCAGAGACTGAATAAATGCAGAACGTTTAAAAAAAAGTACAGTTGTCATTAGCTGACTGACAATAGCTAAAAATGAGGTGCATCTATGAACTGTAACTGTTCTTGCATTTTTATTGTATTTTGTTTCTCCACAGTGGACAGAGAGTTGGATGTGTCTGTCTTTCCCCGCCATCCTGCCTCCATGCACCTCTCACAACCTCACCCGACTCCTGCCGCCATCTCTCTCAAAATGGACCTTCAAAACTCCCCATATTTACCCCACCCATCCGGCCAGCACCACCCCAGGAGCGCTGCACCTCTGCTTGGCCACTCTCTGCTCAACGCCCAACTCCCCCCACAAATCATTCGCCAGCAAATTGCCATGGCACATCTACTGAACCAACAGTTAACCGTTGGCCGGATGCTAGCTCATCAAAATCAGCATCCACAGGGGCAAAACCAACACCAGTTCCTAAACCATCCGCCAATCGCAAGGAGCTGTAAAAATGCAGGCGAAATACCAACTCGTAGTGGTAGTAGTAATAGTAGTAATAGTTGGGGGACTGGAGAAGTCGGTGTGGATATTTACCAACAAGTGAGAAATGAACTGAAGAGAGCCAGTGTGTCCCAGGCTGTGTTCGCAAGAGTGGCGTTCAATAGGACTCAGGTACGCTATCATATTAGATATTTCTTTGTTATGAGGGTAATGCCATTGCTATCTAAATAGTATAAAAAGCAGAAGGAAACGATGGCTGGAAGCAGTATTTCTTAACTTTGACCGCACTGTCTCATGTGTTCGTGTTTAGTGATATTGTGAGAACAACCCAACATATACTAGTTCCATCCGAAGTGTTTGCTTTCTCTTTCATTTGCCTAACCCTGCAGATAAATAATGAGAAACTGTCACAGACACAATCTGTTGCCTGTGTATACATTCTGAGTGTTTGAGAACTGTTACAATAGTCCCAGTGAAACATATTTAACAAGACCCACTCTGTGTGTGCAAAACATGATTTCACCCCCACAGCTCCTGGCCACACCTGAACATGTGACCAATCCACTGGTCAGTGAGACCAGGAAAGCTGACCATGGTGTGGGTGAAACTAGTTGTGTGTCAGATTGACAAAACAATGCTTTATTTCATACTAACAACATCAGTAAGAAATAAGCCCCTGAGTGTGTCGCACCTCGTCTGAATTCACCTCTGAACCTCACCTCTGCAGTGAGGTTCAGAGGTGAATACTTCCTCCAACACCTCCACCGCCTCCTCTTCTTCTTGCTCCTCTTGTTAAGCTTGTTCTGGAGCTTTTCCTCTTGAATCTGCAGCTCATAATTTGATTATTTCAAAGATGTGTCCGGCTCTTGGAAATTGTTCTGCAGCTCTTGCAGAAGCTTCTTGGTTTGTTCTTCTTTAGCTGCTTGATTCTCAGAGAGCAAATACTTCAGGGAGGCCACAGTCTGGTCCTAGATCTTTGTGTCTCTGTCAGCCTGGTGAAGACGAGTCTTCAGAGCCTTGTTCTGAGCTTCAGACTCCTTCAGTTATACCTTTGTTGGTTGTTCCTGCAGATCCTGTGGGGTACAGGTTCTGGATCGTCTGTTGTTGCTGCTGTTGGAGCCTTCTCATCTTTGTGGCTTCAGCCTCGAGCCTCATGTTTTTAAGCTTGTCTTTAAAATGCAGCTGTGTGCAGTTGTTCTTGCAGATGCTGTGTCTTGATTTAGGTTCACACAGTGAAGGTTTCCCACATCAAGACACAGTCTTCATCTCCTTTTCTCTTTTTTTAATGAATACCTTCCCGAAGTTGACCAGAACTCACAGAGCTCTTTAACTTTGAGCTGTAGGTCACCTTGCTCTTGAACTTTAGGCGCACTCTGAGCGGTGAGAGCCAGCTCTGTCAGTCTCTGATGCTTCAGTTAATGTTTCAACTTTCTAACTTCCGTCTCGAGCAACATGATTTTGACATCAATGTCCAGAAGCAGTTGTTCTGTTTTCTGCAGTTGTTCTCGCAGAAATGTGGAGATTCTCCTCAGGTCCACTGTGATTCTGAAGATGATAGTCAAAACATTGACCATGTTTCGAATCTTCAGATTCGTATCCTTCATCTTTTCCCTGCTCCTCAAGTTCTTCTTAAAGTCAATCATTGTGTCTCTCAGCTCTAAGAGTTCCTTTTGCTCATTGATTTTGTGATTTCACTATTGAACCTTCTGTACTAGATCCAACAGTCTCTGCTTTTGTTCAGCGTTGGCTCTGAGCTGTTCTGAGGCTTTAATGTTTTAAATCATTGTACAAACTTCAGTTGTCTGGCCCCACATTCACAATACCATGTGTTTTCTAGTTGTTTGAACTTAAAGTGTTTTAAACCGATAAAGACCTTGTAAATACATGGATACATTAGTTTTCCAAAGTATTTTTGGATGTTATGGGGTAATAGTTTTGCTTTTGCTCCATATATTGCTTCATACATGCTGTCTAAACACTTTATATCCTTTTTAGTTTATGTGTATTATTTTGTAGTGATACACAGCTGATTTGTGTGGTCCTGGAAGAGTACTGTGTGGATTTCTGTCGGTGCTCTTTTCTGAAGTCTAAACAGTGGATCGAAGCCTGTTTGGTAGACGTTTCCTCAAATCCTTTTCCTGCTGGTTTTCTACGTGCAGGGCCTGCTGTCGGAGATCCTGCGGAAAGAGGAGGACCCGCACTCGGCCTCTCAGTCTCTGCTAGTCAATCTGAAGGCCATGCACAACTTCCTGAACCTGCCCGAGTCTAAACGAGACCAGATCTACCAGGAGGAGAAGGAGAGGAGCTCCAACCCGGCTCACCACAACCACAGCCACATTCACAGCCACAGCCACAGCATACCGGCTCACAGTATCAGGACACAAGCACAGGTACAAGGCCCAGAAGGACACAAGCACAGGTACAAGGCCCCGCAGACAGCACAGGGAATGCATTCTTTTCAAAGCATGTTTAAGAAGTACATATACAAACATAAACATATACTTATATCACGCATGAGTGAAAGGTATATATTTCCCATGCACACAAACCAATGACATTAAACCATTAGATTACAGGCAAATATATAAAAGAATTAGATACGTTGCAAACTATCCAACGAAAAAAGTACCACAAAGACTTTGCCTAAGCTATTCAATTGTAGTTGTCCCACTCACTACGGATTGGAGTTATATAGTACACAAACAAGTGTTTTGCAAGTGTGTGAGAGTGGCTCCTCTGAAAGTAAGAAATGAAGTTATGGAACAAATAGAAGCAGGAAGGCTGTTCCAGTGAGGGGCTTTTACAAAGAAAGCATGTCATAGCTCTGGGAACTGTAGAGAAAAGAGTGTCTCAGACGGTCTAAAAGAACTAACTATTGCTTAAGGTATGATGGAAAATTAAAGTGGATGCATTTGAAAATGAATTGAAATCAATGATACATGTGGCATGTGTACAGTGCCTTACAAAAATATTCATACAACTTGAACTCCTGCACACTTTGTCATGTTACAACCATAAACAACAAAGTCACTTTTTGCATTTTGTATTTGTTTATTGATGCACAACAGCAGCTGTAAAGTCCCACAATCACTCACATACACACACTCATTGTTTTTAGTGGTAGGGGTAACCAGAGTAAACTTATGCAGACACAGGGAGAACATGCAAACTCCACACAGAAAAGCCCCGTCTGGAGGTGGAATTGAACCCAGGACCTTCTTGCCGTGAAGCATAAGTGGTAATCACAGCGCCATTGTATTGTGACAGCAAATGGATAAATGATGTTGTTATTCTAAAAAAAACACTGAAAAGTGTGGCTTGCATGACCGGATGGCTAATATTATTTTGTTTTCATGTCACGGTTGTCTTTTACTTGCGTGTGAATTTTCAGTAAAGACATTTAAAATAAAACATGGCAAAATGAGCAAAGGTTTTACAGGTCATAAAGTTCATTAAACTTCCTTCATAAAGTCATGACATGTCCTTATATGGTGAAACAGAGGGTCATTTCTGTATATAGTTTTACAGAGGGCCATGTCCTTATATTGTAATATAGACAGTAATTTTCTTATATATCAATACAAAGGGCCTCCTTATCTTCACAAACAGAGGCTGATTTCCTTGGGAATCTGTGATTAAATGATGCAGTATTTCTTAATGCATATTGTTCATGCAGGTTAATCACAGCAAAACCCTGAGCTCAAAGTTGTAATGTTTTGAGCGATCTTTACGTCTTAAATTTGTGTTTCTCCTACAGAGTAAGTGGAGCGCTCCGGCCTCAGACTTACCCCTGAAGCTGGATCCTCAAATCAATATCTCCAAAAACATCTACGATGAGATTCAGGCCGAGATGAAACGTGCCAAAGTCTCCCAAGCTCTGTTTGCAAAAGTCTCTGTCAACAAAAGCCAGGTAAGTGCCTATCTCCACAACTTAAAGGGGTGCACCTAATTTTTTTGTTTCATTCACTGTACAGTCTTTAACAGTTTTAGTAAAAGTAAAAGCATGATCAGAAAACAAGTTACATTGGGCTGTAGTAGAAGTAGTAGTAGTAGAATATATACACTATTTTTGAAGAAACGTAATCCAGAGGAGCTGTGTTTTGGTGTGTGGTGTGTATTTATCTCCCTCTGAGTCTCATCAGTCTAAACATGACAGACTGAGCCACATTAAACACATGGGACTGGGCTGAATCACAAACAAGCGTGGGTAAGAGGCGTGGGATTGGACTACAGAGTTACAGGTACGATCGTTGCTGCCTCTGTCTTCACTTCTTAACACCCACTTTGCTAACCTTGAGCAAGAATGAAAAGGAAGAGGTTAAAGCTGGGGCATGTCCCTTTAACAGAAATAACCTTGTGAACGTAAAATCTTCAGATAACAAGCTATCTTCATCAGAGCGAGGAAATTCTTACATGGATTTCATTTTAGTGGTTTGAAAGTCGTGTATCCCGATTTTAAGAGAGAAAAAAAACATCCATGCATTCATTATCCCGCGCTTTATCCTTTGCTGATGTTTCCCTGACCAGCTGAGAGACATAGTCCTGGGTCATCTCTGGGGACAAGGAGTTTTTCTGCTTTTATGTCAACAACAGAACAGAACAGAATACACAAAGAAAGTTGAAAGTTTTTAGTTGAAAGTCAACATGATGAAAAGCTGCGTGAAGTTGGTTTAGCAGGTAATAATAAAACAATTTTGAAACAGGGGAGATATCTTGTTCATTCATGTTCCTGGTCTGGTGCACACTGCGGACTTTTGCAGATGTATTCCAATGTGGTTTTACTACAAATAAAATGAATCGGAATCTGAGATGAGCGCATCACTATGGAGCCCTTTTCTTCCCATGTGGACTCTTTGGGCTCTGTTCTATAAAGCTAGTTGCTGAATAGTTAGTGAAATGCGTCTCTGCGTCTGTTGTCAGGGCTGGCTGTGTGAGCTGCTGCGCTGGAAGGAAAGCCCGTCTCCCGAGAACCGGACACTGTGGGAAAACCTCAGCATGATCCGCAGGTTTCTGTCCCTGTCTCAGAGCGAGAGGGACCAGGTCTACGAGGACGAGAGCCGGCAGCAGCACGGAGAGAGAGGAGGCTACGGGAGCGTCAACGAAGCACAGGTATGAGGAAATACAGTAGTAAGATGACTGAAACAAGGGATAAGTAAATGAGTGATATATATTTAAGAAAGAGGTCTAACTGATATCCACATGTTGAAGTATAAATATATTATCTCTGTAGACTCTGAGGTCTCTGTTGAATCCGTAGTCTCTGTGGTCTCTATGGTCTCTGTGGTCTCAGTGGTCCCTGTGGTCTCAGTGGTCTCTGTGGTCTCTCCAGTCTCTGGACTTTAGCCCCTTTTATGTGGTCTTGGAAACTCAAAATTTTTAACTTTCACTCCTCTAGTTCCCGATTTTGCGTCAGATTGTGATTGGATGAAAAAATAGAGTCAAACTGCATGGGATGTGATTTTTTTATCCTTTTATAAAAAATAAATAAAAAAGGATTTAGAGAAACGTATAAGATGGTTTATGTGAAAGCATGTTTTATTGTAAGGAACATAAAATATAACATGTGTGTCTTATGTTACAACAGTGAACAGTGCCTTTCTGTTCAACGAGCAAGGAGAAAAGTTAAATTTCTGCACATTTCTCGTGTGTTTGTGTGCGTTTGCGTATCTCAGAGTTTCCGAGATCGCATGAAAGCTGCATTAAACTGCAGAAGGAGTGGACAGAACAAAACATGTTTAAGGCCAGAAGCTGATCCTAAACAGGAAGTACAACCAGGAACGTTTTGGTGACGGAAAGTCTGATTGCACGTTGAAATACAATACAAATAGAACATGTTTCTCATTGGCTCAGAGACAAACCTTTTGAAAGCCAATTGCAGAGGCTGGTTGCAAATTAGCTAGCTTCATGGAGGAACATTGTGTCATGTTGGATACAGTACAAACACTATAAAGTACTAGTTGATTTAGGTCAAAAACCAACCAGGCTGTGTTTATGTCAGAGAAACTTGGCCTAGAACCAGTTCAAAAAGTTAAAAGCTTGTGAAAAAACAACATTTGTATATCTTTAAAAATAGACATATGTCTCAGCACCTGCTTCTCCAGTCTCATAACTCTAAACTAAAGCTGTAAATAACTTCCTACACATTTCCTGCTTGGCCCCAAACGTCTCGTCTGAAACCAAAACCTCAATATTATTCTGTGCGAGCCTCTAATTATTGGAGCGGCAAAGAGCTCCGGTCATTTATCTGTTTTCAAACCATTGATTTGTGAGGCCTCAGTGGGAGCGGGAAACAGCTTGAATATGTTGACAAAAGGTTTGTTCAAAATTACACATTATATCTCAACATGTACTGTATACAAACAATAGTAAATTACATATATACTGATATATACTATATTTACTTAATAAACTCAAAATGAATGGGATGTAAACACAGATTGGCACATATTATATTTACAATCTCGACAACAGCCTGAGCCAGGTTTTATTCATTTTTTATTTGTTCTATTCATCCGTAGTCCCTGGGTAGAAGCAAAGTGACAGCAGGTTTACAGTGGGCAAAGACTTAAATAGAATGGCCTAGTTAGCTATTAAAGCTGGGGTACTTGACTTTCACACCACAAGTAAAATGTGTTATGTAACAAAATCCTTGTATAGTTCCTCCCCAATCAGTTTGCTTCTAGTTCCATTTTTCACATGCGTTCTTGAGGGGACCACCCTCACACAGCCAATCAGCGCTCAGATCAAAGCATTACATTGCGACTAATGCTTGTATGTAAAATATAGCATATTTTCTAATAAGATGAAAACAGCAAGTTGTGATATGATCCATCCATCCATTTTCTTCCCCTTAATCCATTTCTGGGTCGGGGGGGTGGCAGTCAGAGCTACACCCAGTTCACAGAGCACCAGCCCCTCACTGATCCTCCTGCAGGTGGTGAGTCCACAGGAGCCTTGATCTTCCAGCGGGGGCTTCAGGCAAAGTGGGGTTAAGTGTCTTGTCCAAGGACACAACGACAGCACACATCAGTGGGAGTCAGGAAGTAGGTCTTGTGGTGGGCTCGAATCCCACGACCTCCAGGCTCAAAGGCCAATGCTCTACCAACTGAGCCACTGTCGCCCACAGTGTTGTGATATGACGTACTTTTCTTCTGAGTTAATGGGAAGATGATGACAGAGTAAAGTATAGAACATTATTGGAGGAGAAGCTTCTGCGGTTGCCAATTCTACATTGTAGCATGCAGTCCAGTCTCATACAGTATAGCCCCACTTTTTTGTTCTCACATTGGAGAAATGTATGTTACGTTTGACTTCAATAAGATCACTCAGGGTGTGCACAAAGGCAGAAAATGTGCAAACCGTTAAAATTATGTCTTTTTTCTTTTTATGTGCATCACAGGAAGAGATCCTTTAGTCGTTACACATTGGGTACATTTCAGTGTTGTGTTGAGGGGCACACAGCTAAAGATAAGTGAAAAATAACTCTATTCTAAAATATGATAAAAACTAACTTTAGCATAATAGAGAAGCAAGTTTAAAATGTCCAACTCTCCAACAAATTCAGTATAAAGTATTTTATGATCAATATAAAATCTCAAACTTTAGCACAGGGGTCTTCAACTGGCAGACCAGTTCCAGGCCTAGACCTCACGGCCCAAGTATATGTAAATTTGTCACACACAAAAAAATAATTGGGATTCACAAAATGTAGCGAGCACATAGCACATAAATCAAGCCAGGAAAACCACTATAACCAGGACAACGGTTAGAATATATGGCAACTGTTATGGTAACTGTTATGGTAACAGTTGCCATGGTAAATATTGCCAAGAAAACAATCACCGTGCCAACAGTTGCTATGACAACAGTTACCATGGCAACTGTTACCATAACAGTTGCCAGACAATCTGTTGGATCTTGTTTTAATGGCAACCGTTGCTATGGCAACCACTATGACAACTGTTACCCTGGTGAATCTTGTTTTAAAGCATTTTTTTACCATGGCAACCGTTGCTATGACAATAGTCACCATGCCAACTGTTGCTATGGCAAAAGTCACCATGGCAACTGTTACCCTGGAACTCATCAATGTGGCAACCCTGGTAACATGACTATGGGAACTATCACCAACAACCAACTGTTACCATGACAACTGACAGACAATTTGGTGAATCTTGTTTGAATGCGTATCTTTCTTGGGAGTGTGTTTACAGTTGTAATAGCAACAGTTTCCATCCAACCACATCACAAAACGTTTTTATCGGGTATGATGTCAGTTGTCACTGTAGCCTGTTTTAGCGTAATAAAGAAGCTGTAATGCTGTATATTCTAGAGCAAGAAATATATAGGTTAAAAATATTTCTTATGTACAATTTCAAAAAGTGACATTGGCAGTGCAAAGTTTTGTGGTTATAACATGACAAATATCAACCTTTTTACTCTCCTGTCTTTCCCGCAGTTGCTTCACAGACCTCCTCCCCTTTTGTCGACCTCTGCTTCGCCCTCCACGGACCTCCCTCCTCCCCCATATCTCCCCTCCGCTCCCACCTGCGAAGATTCCTCGCAGAAATTGCAGCGATCCCGAAATCGCATTTCTGTAGAAGCCCTGGGGATTCTCCAGAGTTTCATCGGCGACGTCGGCCTCTACCCGGACCAGGAAGCCATCCACACTCTGTCCGCGCAGCTGGACCTCCCCAAACACACTGTGGTCAAATTCTTCCAAAACCAACGCTACAACATCAGGCATTACAACCAAACCAAGCCACAAAGTCCCACCAAAGACACAGACGAGGCTTTGGTTGAAAACGCAAATGAAAAAGAGACGATTTCAATGGAGGAGTCGCCCAAACTGGGATTCCAAGACGTGGAAAAGGATTTGGAGCAAGACGATATTGTTTCAATGGATTCACCGAACAGCAGCTGTGATAGTCCTACACAAAACACAACAAAAAATGCTGAAAATGATGAGAGAAACACATGGGATTCTTGTGAAATTGCGGATGTATGAGCGTTTTGAATATTAAAAGTAAGAATAATGTGGTATTTTGAATTGTAAATTTGCAAAGAGAGATAAAAGTCATAAGAAAAGTATTAGAAAGACATACAATTTGTAAGTCTAGAGTAGTTTTGTGAATAAGCCAGGTTTTTTTCAGTGCCATACAAATCAAGTTTCACCCCAAATCCTTTCAAATTTACTGCCAATAACAAAACATGTTGAAGATTGTAGCTCGAGGAATACAACTTTTTGACACATTTTCAAGAGAAGGAAATTTGTTTTTTGCAAATGAACTGTTCATATGGACTTTGTATATTTATAACAGTGTGAAAAACTGTTTTTTTTTAATGCTCTTTTAAATTGTATGTGCCATGATTTTCAAAGTAAAGAGATTGAAAGTGATCCATGGTTCCTGTGCAGTGCCTTTGATACTTTTGTAGATCAAAAAGTGAAGTATGTAAAATGTTCGACTTTCTTGTTCATGCTCTAGAATAGTATTTCAGAAGACGCCAATACATTTCTATGGGAAAGTGTGTGTGGGGTTAACAGCGCAACTCAATATTATTCATAATAATTGTTTCCATATACAAAAAACAAAGTAAAATGTCTCGTTCTCGTGCCTAACTTTGAAACCACATTAATATTGAAATTATCACTTTCTCTCAAAACCTACATTTCCTTTATACTTGTTTTTTCTCCTTAAAAACATTGCTGTGTTCCCGACAGACGATGCCCTCTCCCTGGACTTCAAAGCCGACAGACCTTCATCTCGCCACTCAGTAAATCATGAGAATTATTGCCCATTCTTCCCTGCTCCTTTTAATCAGCCGTGTATTTATGCTTAGTTGTTTATGTCAGCTACTAAGTGCTCTGTGGAGGCGTCGACCCAGTTTAATTTGAGTCAAATTGTTAGGTTTGAGCCCGAATGAGCCGCTGAAATACATGTGTCTGCACGGGGACTATTTTTGACACAATTTTCAGAGAGTGCTTTTTTGAATATTTAACGAGATTCTATGGATCTCCTTGTATTTTATTAGTAATATAATCAACTTTTGGATGACATGTAATGACTTTGGAATACAGTTTTATATTATGGTATTATTATGAGTAGTCTTTCATATTGAGGGAGGCAAGGTATGGGAGATTTCAGTAGTGCATGTGTGTGAATGCAGGGTTAACAGTGCACTATAATCAATTTCATTTAAAGTACAGACTAAACGTCTGTACTTTAAACTTTAAACCAGTACCTACATATAAAGTGATAATGTCTAGTCCTAAATTTCAAACAACAATGGAACTATTTAATTGGAACAGTGTTATTAGTTCCTCAAAACTGTTTTCTAATGAGATGAAGATAGAATGTTGTGGTCGGATTTTACTTTCAAGCCTTTCTACTTCAGTTTCCCTTGTCCTGGTGTTGTGGTTTTGTACAATGTTCCTCTACATTCAGTGACTGTTTCACACGATTAGACACATTTGGACTTCACACGAGGGCCTTCAAAAGAGGAGTTACGTCATGAGAAGATGTTTTATGTATGCTGTTTTTCCACAGGGTCAACTGTAAAAAAGAAATGCGGCTATCAGCTGGTTTGCTAACGCCTTTGCTATGATACCCAAATGGAAAAATGTCTGATTTTGTGTTATGAGGCCCTATGCAACAAAATGCTGCAGTTTGTTAGGAAGGACACAGTCTGCATTACACCTTCTGCCTGTCTTTCCCATGTTTTGTTGTTGTTTCTTGCTATATGAAATTTTAGACCTTTAGGTGGAACTATTTTGATGCTGGGGGCTTTTTTGTAACTAATGGGCACATTCGGCACAAGTGGTCCATTTTTGTGCCAACTGTGCCAAAGTGTTTTACATGCAAATTATCAATGTTTTTACACCAAAAATCCATTTATATAATTTTTTGGCTATTACTCTTGCTATAAATAGCATTTTTTCCAGATATTGAAATGTTTGCAGAAAAGCTATTATTTATATAGTTATAGCGCGTGTTCTCCGTGAAAAAGGCTCCGTCTTCCTCTTTACGCATTCAAATATGACGGGAACAGTGGGAGGAACCTTGAAGTCCGACACATCGCCTGAAACCTGAGATTATTGGCTACAAGATGATTTGATTGACATCCAAATCGGCCAATGGTAGTCAAGACAATGCTGTCGTGACGCACAGATATCTATATGACTGGAGCGCTAAAGCTAGGTGCGCTTGTTTTACTCAACTTACTCTACCTTCCAAACCATAGCACTGAAAAGTCCGGGAATGGGATTGTTTTGAAGGGAAGACTGAGAGGAAGACGAACATACCCAGTGATTCTGGGTAAAAAAAACAATGGCGTCTTCAGACAGTGCGCAAAGACGCGGTTTTATTTTTGTTCGGGCAACTTTCAAAACTCAAATGTGTCGTTACAAGTAATATCTACTATAAGGATGACTTTGAAGAAAAAACAACTGGATATAATTATTCTCTAGATCCTCACGGACAAAATGAATGCACACATGTGTGGATTAGACGTGATTTGGCCCAGAATATTAGCATGAAAAGGTAAGAAAGGACAATATATATTTTTTATATGTATACAGTTTGACTACAAATACTTACTTTTGTTGATATTTAATGTTTATTTGAACATAATATGCATTTAGAGGTGGGAATAAGCTTTCAAAAGAGGTATAGCTTGACTATATTGACACAAGTTAAGTTATGATACTGATGCAGTTAAATGAAAAATATCTGAATCCTCCCTGTACAGGGAGGGTGATCCTTAACTTTGACACTCAAAATTTTGACTTCCACTACCATATTTAAAATTAAAATAAAAACAAGATTCTAAAGACATTGCTAATAAAAAATCCAATTTGTACAATATTACTACAATATGTTTAAAAGATAAGAGTAATAAAAATATATGTTTTTACTCAATTATAAATGTATTATGTATCTCATTGATTTTATCAGTATCTTAAAACGTGGATACTTCAGCAGTGTTGCAGAGGCCTTTTTGCTTGACGGAGCATTAAACCACTGATCGCTGACTTGATCTATGGCCTGAGCGGAGCCTGCAGGTCCATGGATGTCATCAACTATTATCTCAATGTTGATCCAAATGCACATGATCCATAAAAGCAAACTAAGATTATTATTTCCTTCTCCTTTTTGCAGATTTTGTTGTTGTTGGATGTGCAGTGCAGTCATATCATGTGGATTAATTCTGTTTAAAAGGTGCTAATGCTGGAGATTAGATAAATGGGGAAAAATACATGGGATTCTTGCTTTCGCTTCAGATTTCTCTCTAAAAACTCTGAGCTATTTAAGGATTCTCACGGTTCCAGCTGCGTACAGAAGTAAACTACAACACATCGCAGGTCGTAGCTCTTTTCATTGCTGTACACACTGGTTATTAAATATTACATGCGCCGCTCTGTCTGAAAATAGTCCATAACTGAAGTCTGAAAGCGACGCGTGTAAAAGCCCGAGCTACAGTTCAGCTTACTGCACATTTACTGGTTAGAAAATGAATTTGTGGAACTAAAAAAAGCAAATGTGAGGCCTTATTTGTGTTCATTTGGGTCTTGAGAATAATTGGTTTTAGAATTATTTATTGTGGTGGAGGGCAGCTAACTCTCCTGGTGTCAAAAGTCTTAATTCAGAGCTAGTTTCTCTGTCATTCCTGCATCAATCCACAAGAAACAAATCTGTTGCAAAGTCTCTCTCTGGTCTCTCTCTTTGATCCCTCTCTCGCTCTGTTCACTTTCTCTGGTCTCTATCTGGTCTCTCTCTCACTTCTCTAACAGCTCTCTGGTCACTCCCTCTGGTCTCTCTCTCTGATCTCTCTCTCTAGTTCCTCTCTCTGGTCTCTCTCGCTCTTACAGTAGGTCTTGCTCTCTCTGGTCTTGCTCTCTCTCTCTCTGGTTTCTCTCTGCTCTCTCTCAGCTCTTTCTCTCTGGTCTCTCGATTCTATCTCTCTCTCTGGTCTCTCTCCTGGCCTTTCTTTCCCTCCGGTCTCACTCTCTGGTTTCTCTCATATCTTTCTATCTGGTATCTTCCTCTTTCTGATCGCTTTCTCTAGTCTCTCTGATATCTCTGTCTCTCTCTCGCTCTCTCTCTCTCTCTGGTCTATCTCAGTTCTTTCTCTCTGGTCTCTCTCTGGCCCCTCTTTCTGATCTCTCTCTCTCTTGTGTCTCTCTCTGGTCTCTCTCACTGCTTTCTCTGGTCTCTCTCTCTCTCTCGCTCTGGTCTCTCTCAGCTCTTTCTCTTTGGTTTCTCCCTCTGGTCCCTCTTTCTGATCTCTCTTTCTCTTGTCTCTCTGTCTGGTCTCTCTCTGCTTTCTCTGGTCTCTCTCTCTCTGCTCTCTCTAATGTCACATTCTAAAACAGTGCGTCACACTAACACATTTTTTTATTCTTCTTCTTCTTCAGGTGCAGCACATAGTGACAGAGACGAGGGACAAGATCATGCAGTACAAGAGCAAGATGGTGGACGAGGCAGATCTGCGGAGGAGGCTGGCGAGTCTGGAGGAGTCAGTGGAGCTTCACGAACACATGAAGAGACAGGTGCAACAACTTTTGGACTTTCGAGCAATTTCAAAACACAAAATGGCTGATCCACGTGCGATAAACTGGGGTTAGAGTGACTGACTGGCACGGATTGGCTTTTAAACTGACTGACTTTAAAGCTGGGGTCGCTTTTTTGTTTTTACAGATACAAAACAGTAGGAATGAGGAGCACACAACACAACAAACGTGAACAATAACTCTATATTGAAATAGAAAAAAATCTCTAGCTTTAGTAGAATGAAAAAGTCTATAATACATGTTATTTGTCACAGCAGAAAGCTGATTGGCCGAGTGGGTGGTCCTCTCTTTTCCACTTTTCTGTCTGAAAAAGCAGATCTAAAAATGTGACACAGGTCAAAAAAATAAATAAATGCATGTGAAAACTACCACGCTGTTCTGGATTTGATCAAATTCTTATGTGGTCTGAAAGTTACGTGCCCCAGCTTTAACGACACGCATTGGCTATCACTATTCATGTATTTTAAGCCATGCAAACGACCATCCATCCTCCTTTGCTGAAGCCGATTAGAATAAAACCTTTTATCTTTGGAATGGAGACAGTTCTTGGCAAACATTTCAATTATTCTTTTCTTTCAGGATCTCTCTGGTCTCTGTCTGGTCTCTCTCCCTCTGGTCCCTCTGGTCTCTCTCTCTCCCTCTGGTCTCTCCCTCTGGTCTCTCTCTCTAGTCTCTCTCCCTCTGGTCTCTCCCTCTGGTCTCTCTCTCTGGTCTCTCTCTCTGGTCTCTCCCTCTGGTCTCTCTCTCTGGTTTCTCTCTCTGGTCTCTCTCTCTGGTCTCTCTCTCTGGTCTCTCTCTCTGGTCTCTCCCTCTGGTCTCTCCCTCTGGTCTCTCTCTCTGGTCTCTCTCTCTGGTCTCTCTCTCTGGTCTCTCTCTCTGGTCTCTCTCGTCTCTTGTGTGAATGATTTCTGTGAAAAAAAGGAAAAAATACTTTTTTCAAATGTTTTTAGAAAATAAAATTGAAATTACAAAGCAAAACATTTGTAACTTGACTAAAATCTGTTTGAAAAATCCATTTTTAATAATATGTCTATTTTAAAGATCCAAACGTGCACTTTTCTCCTGAGTGTGTGTGAGCACTGAATGAATAATGCACCAACCTGTGACGTGGCTAAAACAGGGCTCCTCGGGCTTTTAATGCTTCATCTTGAGTTTGCATATATTTTGCTCATGGAAAACAATCTACAAATTCATTTTATTCTAACCATTTCTCAGTTTTTTTTTCCGTATCATTTCATTGCTTTGGTTTTATCGGCACCAATCCGCATTCCACCCCGATTCTTTTGAAACCGCTTGGGCTGCGGTGCGCTCGTGGTTGCACAATTAATCTTAATCTAATCGTAGTTTTTGTGGTCCTAATTAGCAAAGACCACAGTTATTTAAGTTCTTTGCAAACGGAAGAATTGGTATATTTGGTCTCTCTTTCCAGTCTTTTGTCTCTCTATGGTCTCTTTGGTTTTCGCTCTTATCTCCGTCTGGTCTGTCTTTCTGGTCTCTCTGGTCTCTGGTCACGCTCTGGTCTCTCTCTGGTCTCTATGGATTTGTATCTGGCCCCTCTCGTCTCCCTGGTCTCACTCAGATCTCTCACTCAGGTCTCTCTCTCAGGTCTCTGGTATCTCTGGTTTCGATCTCTTTCTTTACTCTCAGGTCTGACTGTAAGTAATTTGTAATTTTGTGAAAAATCAATAAATTCAAATCAAATTATTATTTTTTTTGCAAAATGGTTGAATAGTATGGGTTTGATAAGAAAATGTTTTTTATACTTAGTAATAGTGATATTTTGAAATTGGAAACAAAATACAATAATATGTCTTTTTATCATTTTTTATTACATTATTTTTTATTCTTGGTATATTTGGATTTAATAACAATTCATAAATGCATCAATGTTGTTGTTTCTTTGTAAAAATAAGAATCAAAAGCCTTTTATACTGAACCACATCGTATCCTTTTGTAAATATATCACATTGAAAAGTCGCCTGTATCGCGATACATTTTGTATCAGCAGCTCAGACACACACCTGGCTCTCTGATATATTTTAGAACTTATAACATTTACTAAAACGTGTGAGGATTGCCGACGGTATTGGCTTCATAAGTTGCATTTTCCAACCAAACTCTCTTGAAGTTTTGACTCTGAACAAAAAGATCATTTTGAAACACACAGGATTCAGAAATTGCAGCATAACGTTGGGCAGAAATATTGCACATAGATATTTTGCCCTCGTCCCTGGCCCCTGCTCTAACTCCCTGGGCCTGTCGTGTCGCCTTCAGGCCCTGGCGGAGTTTGAGATGTACCGGCAGCGAATGGAGGACTCCCAGCTCTGCACCGAAGCTCAGCACACGCAGAGAGTGGTGTCCATGAGCCGAGAGGTGAGTCGGAGAGGACATAAAAATATAAATATGAAGCGCGGCATGAAAAATTTACAGATCTTCGCTTTTTGTTTTAGTCTCAGTGGACTGTGTCTGCTAACAGAGCCGGTCTATGCTAACTGGAATAGCAGCATTGTGCTAATACTAGAGACAATTTTAAACAAACTCACCACTCTATGCATGAATAAATCACTATTAATAAGAACCACAGACTGTAGAACGAGTGGACACAACTTCCTGGCCTAATATGGTTGTAGAAAGCCTGGTGCAAAGAATTTCAGCGGAGAAATCAGCTGCTTTTTTGACAGCTGCTGTCATTAAAAACAATGATAACTGACCAATCATATGATTATTAAAGCTGGCTCAGATTGGATTGGATTAAACTACTCTTTCTTGATTGGCTCCAATCATTGCAAATATTAACTGGTTAATAGTACCTGGATTATGCTTTGTAGTTCCTACAACAATGTGAGGATATTTTCTGTCCTTATTACTCCCAGCTCGCCGCTTCATCAGGGTGCAACCAAATTATGTCACTCCCTCTACAGTCTTGATGGAAATCTAGCATTTCTATTAAACCTTTGTGTTTCTATAATCCGTAATCTTATCATTATCATTTGGCTTATATGTGACCAGCAAAATCACTTGTTTTGGGCTGAAAAGAACTTTGCTTTGCTTCTAAAAAATTCTTAACTTTCTCACTATTTTGGACCTCTCTGCTCCTCAAACCACCATAAAATAGTTTAAAAGTTCCCAAAATGTTTAACACACTAGTTGTCATTCAGCTGAAATTAATTGCTTTGGTCACATATTACAGTTTCAAAAGTTTACTAATTCTTGTGCTGCCTATATAAAAATAAATGTATGAGCTTTAGTATCATGCCATACTCCCATGATTTATCATACCACACAAACACTTGATTTTCATATTTTTGTTATGTCATAAACTTCTGTTTTAATCCACTCTGTTTTCCTTATTGCCCTTGTGGAGATAGTGTATTGTGTTATTACCATATTCAACATGGGTTTGGATATTCTTGTTTTGTAGGTTATTTGTGAAGAAAATAACTAGTTGTGCTTGCATTGAAACAAAGCTGGAAAAAAGGGAAAAATGGTTGAGCACTAAAATAAGTTATAATTAAGCCATGGAAGTAGACTGGCTGGTTGGGAAGAAGTTTGGTCGTCAAACATTTCAAAAATCTCTTTCTATCTACTCTACTATTGGAATCATGATCATTGATGGCTCCTGTTCCATATTATTAGAATATATTAGTTACCTAATGTAACTGTAGATCTACAAATGGTGCGTAGCCCCTTAGGGCTACGCCAGTGAATATAACTCTAGAGGCCCCGAGCCTCCCGCCAGAAAGAAATCAATGCTCCAATCATGGACGAGTCCCTCCTATAAATAGCCCTCTGCAGCCCGCACCTGCCACTTTGAACTCTGCCAAAGCCAGGCTGGACTGATGGGCCCGTAGCTAAGGGGCTACGCACCATCCGTAGAACTACAGTTACATTAGGTAACTAATAATTCTACATCATGGTGCTAACGCCCCTTAGGGCTACGCTAGTGAATAACAATGCGTAGACCGTGGAAAAATGTACTCCGATCAGGCCAAGGTGAGTGGGCTCAGGAAAGAAGCATAAGCAGTGTTATGAGGCTGCTCCTATCAAGGACACCCGAAGAACACTGACAAATCCCTTCTAAAACAAAGATCCACATAGTTAAGGCCGCTTCTATCAAGGACACCCGAACACTCTGTCAAAAACTCCCCTGCGAATAAGCGCAGGCCGCATTCCCAGGACGCCTTCCCAGGACGCCTTCCCAGGTCGCCTCTATCAAGAGCTCCTGAAGGGAAGGCCAAAACCAATGCTTTCAGGGAACAAGGACAGACCGCAGTCCCCAGGAGCTCCTGAATGGGGCGGCCCTAACAACACACACTAGACCGCTGGCCGCCTCTACCAAGAGCACCTCACGGTCCCGATTAAATCCCAGCGTTCAGAACGGAGTGGGCAACCGACCGTTCTGACAGGTCAACCAGATAAGACTGAGCAAAAGAAGAGGACGAAGCCCAGGACGCCGCCTGGCAGACGTCCTCCACTGAGGCCCCCCGGAGCAACGCAGTGGAGGCCGCAACCCCCCGTGTGGAGTGCGCTCTGAATCCCACCGGGGAAACAAAACCCTGAGCCTGGTACGCCATGCGAACCGCTCGGGAAACCCAGTGCGCCAGCCACTGAGAGGACAGCGGGGCGCCCCTGTTCCTTGGACCCAAACACACAAACAGCTGATCAGAACACCTGAACGCGGCCGTAACGTTCAGGTAGCCTCTCAGCATCCTGATTGGACACAAAAGATGCCGCCACTCATCCTCCTCCGAGGCATGAGGAGGCGGATAAAAGGGTCTGATCCTGATGACCCTAGACCTAAAGGTCGAGGAAACTACCTTGGGGAGAAAGGCTGGATTGGGCCAAAGCTCCACCAGATCATCCCCAGCCCCAAACGACAGACAAGCCGGGCTAATGGAGAGAGCGCATATATCCCCCGCCCTCTTGGTTGACGCCAAGGCCAACAAAAGGGCAATCTTGAGAGCCACACATTCCGGGAGGGCCTGGGTCAGTGGCTCGAAAGGAGGCCCTGACATGCCCTTCAGCACCACCCTAATGTCCCAGACCGGGTGTGTCCTCCTGAGAACGGGCCTTTTACCGTGGGCCCCCCGAAGGAAACGTTTGACCAACGGGTGGGAGCGGGCCGAAAAACCCCTGAACCCCTCGTGACCAGAGGCGATGGCTGACGCGAACACCGCCAAGGTGCCGTCAGCCCTCCCCTTTTCCAATAATTCTTGAAGAAATCCCAGGACTCCCTCCAGAGGGCAGGACATGGGATCCCAAGAGCGTACCGCGCACTAGTCACTAAAAGCCTTCCACCTACAGCCATAGGTCCTGACAGTGGAAGGGCCCCTCGCCCCCTGAATGGTCTCCACCACAGACAAGGGGAGGCCCAGGTTTACGAGGTTCCGCCTCTCAGCCTCCAGACCCAGAGTCTGTGGCCCAGCACCGGGCATGAGTGAAGCATCCCCTCTCCCTGGACCAGAGCCCAAGGCTCGTCCGGGAGTGCCCACGGCTCCACCACCGCCATGCCCTTCAGAAACGGGAACCACCGGGCATGCGGACTGTCCAGAGCGATCAAAATCACCTCCCGACCCTCCTGCTCGATCTTCCTCAGCAGAACCGACAAGAGGCGAGTCGGGGGGAATGCGTACAAGAGGACCCTCGGCCACGGGTAATGAGCCTGCAGGGCATCCACTCCCAGGGGCAGATTTTCTGTGGCCCGCAGCGCGAACCAGAGCGGACACTGAGCGTTGTCTACACTGGCAAACAGGTCGAGGGTTGTGCCGCTATCCGTGGGTCCAGGCCCCACTCCTCCCTGAGTGGGCCCCCCCTGGACATTATGTCCGCCTCTGTTCTTCGATCCCCCAGGAACATGGCGTGCTCTCAGGGACTGCAGGTGCACCGCAGCCCAGAGCAGAATGATTGCCACCAGGTGATGGAGGGCTGGGGACCTCGTGCCCCCCTGCTGTTCAGATACGCCACCACGGTGGTGTTGTCCGAACACACCATCACATGCTTCCCCTCCAGCTGTGGAGCAAAGTGCTGCAGCACCCTGCGCACTGCCTCCATCTCCAGCAGATTGATGTGGCGAGTCGTGTCTGACCAGGAGCCCCCCCACGGAGCTCTGGTTCAGAACCCCTCCCACCCCTCGAGAGAAGCATCTGTGAACACCTCCACGTGTGACACGGTACCGACCAGGGGCACCCCGTCCCGTAACAGACCTGGGGTGAGCCAGAACCTGATGTTCGACTCCGCAGTCGAGGGGATCCTGAGTATCCTCCCCTCGTCCCGTGAGGGGTGAGACGGGAGAACCACCTCTGAAAACCCCGGATGTGGAGGAGGCCCAGACGCAACACTGCAATGGGCCGCCGCCATCATCCCCAGGAGCGATTTGAGGCTCCGAGCAGTCACTCTGGGAGCAGTCAACGCCTCCCTGGCCAGGCGGGCGAGGTTCTCTCGTCTGTCCTCGGATGACGCAGCTCTGAAACCCACCGAGTAGCTGCAGACCGAGATAGACCATGAGCTGGGCAGGCTGCAGCCTGCTCTTTTCTCTGTTCACTACAAAGCCCAGACGTTGTATGTGAGACAGAACCCAGCGCGTGTGAGCCGTGGCCAACTCCCTGGACGCGGCCAGAATTAACCAATCGTCTATGTAGGTTAATATTCTGACCCCTGCGCGTCTGAGTGGTTCCAAGGGCCCCTCCACGCACTTGGAGAAGGAGCGTAGAGTCAGTGCGTACCCGAACGGGAGCCGGCAATACTCGTAGCACCTCCCTCCCACGGTGAAGCGTCTGTGCTCCGGCACTATTGCTACGTGGCAGTAGGCGTCTGTCAAATCGATGGCAGACATCCAGTCCCCGGGCCTGATGCACTCCAGAAGCTGCTTCGTGGAGAGTATGCGAAACGGCCGTTTGGAGATGTACTGGTTTAGTGTACGCAGATCTAAGATGGGCCGCACTCCCCCTGACTTCTTGGGCACCAGGAAGTACGGGGAGTACAAACATCAGGAGGCGTCCCGCAGTTCGACCAGGACCGCGGCGCCTTTCCCCGCAGAGAGGCTACTTCCACCTGGAGAGGCTCCTCTGTTCCATGTCCCCTGGAGCCTGCCACTCGAACGCCCTGGAACGGCGGTGGTCTCCGGGCGAACTGCAGGGCATACCCCCTGCGCAGCGTCTTCTCTAACCATGCGTCTGAGAGGAGATGGGTCCTGACCCACTGTCCCACTCAGCAGCCTGACTCTCACGCTTCACTTCCACCCTAGGAGATGAAGTGCTAGCCTTAGCAGAGCTTAGAGTAGAGGTCTGGACAATAGCAGTGTGACCCTCGCGCCTCAAAACTCCCAGAGGAGATGAAGCGTCACATCTGATAGTACCTGGAGCGGTGATCTGCACTAGCCGCTGCAAACCTTCCTCCACCAAATGTGGCTGAGCTGTTTGTGATACAACACTGCCCTCTACCTGTGACGACATGTGATGCAAGAGCATAGGAGACTCAGACAAAGAATAAGAATAATATTTTCTTTTATTGAGAAGATTATTATATATATCATTATACCAGTCTTGGACCGTGCAGTACTGGCCATACCCCAGGGCGGGCCTCTTGACCGCCAGGGGTTTGGGCCAGTAACGCGTAACGTAGTTGAACACCGGGTCCATACGTGGGCGCAGCGTAGGCACGAGCCTCTTCCTCCCCCGCTCTGGAGCCCACACCGAGGTGAGCCTCTCTCTGCCTGAGTGGGCTGCGGTGGGAGGGAAACTCCCTGCGCCTCACTGATAGAAAAGAGGCGGGAACGGTCTGGCCCCTCGCTCCATGAAATGGCCTCCTCCTGAGTGAACGAGAGATCCCTCGTCTCCGTCAACTCGGATTCCACAGCATAGTCTCCTCACTCCGCGGGCGTAGGAGGCAGGTCGAGAGGGACAAAATGAACCTAAGACTCCTCTTCCTGAGAAGAGTTTGGGCGAGACTCGCGGCGCTAGCATAAGCCACGCGGTGCTCTCTCTCTCTCCTCCCTGGGGAGATAGCAGCACGCTCTCTAGACAGCGCTCTCCTCAGAATGGCCTCCTCCCGAGTGACAAGAGACCCCTCGTCTCTGACCACTCGGACTCCACAACACCACCTCCACAGTCCCTGGGTGCGGGAGGCAGGTTGAGAGGGACAAAATTAACCTCAGACTCCTCTTCCTGAGAGGAGTTTGGGCGAGACTCTGCGGCGCTAGCATGAGCCACGCGGTGCTCTCGCTCTCCTCCCTGGGGAGATAGCAGCACGCCCTGTAAGCAGCGCTCTCCTCAGAATGGCCTCCTCCCGAGTGACGAGAGACCCCTAGTCTTCGTCAACTCGGTCTGCACAGCACAATATCCCACTGCCTGGGTGCAGGAGGCAGGTCGAGAGAGACATAAAGAACCTCAGACTCCTCTTCCTGATGGGAGTCTGGGCAAGTCTCCGCGGCGCTAGCATGAGCCACGCGGTGCTCTCTCTCCTGACTGGGGAGATAAGATAAGCGCTCTCCTCTTCTTTAGATAAACTTACCTCGGCAAGCGCTGCACTTCTTCGTCCGAGGCCAGAGGGCGAAGTGGAACTCGGACAAACAGCAGAAGGCAGCAACATCCTGATTCTTCAGAGTAGAGTGATCTCTCTATGGCGCCAGAGTTCAAAGTGGCAGGTGCGGGCTGCAGAGGGCTATTTATAGGAGGGACTCGTCCGTGATTGGAGCATTGATTTCTCTCTGGTGGGAGGCTCGGGGCCTCTAGAGTCATATTCACTAGCGTAGCCCTCAGGGGCGTTAGGACCATGATGTAGAACTGTTCAGTATCTTGACACATAATGCATGACATTAAATCGATAAAGTAGAAGTAAGTCAGTAATCTTTATTAATCTTTAAACTATTACAATATTAAAATAAATAATTATCTGTTTATATCTGTTTAGCTGAGGTTTATGTTGCTATATTTTGTCTGAATTTCTAGTCTGTTGTATTTGAATAATTCAAGTGATGTGTGGGAAGCTCACCATGTGAGAGGTCGCCTATTCAGAAAATCATTATGTCTAAATTTTTGTAATGTCTCTGAATAATATGAGGGACATGAATCGCAATAGATCGCAGAATAAATTATTGCAATACCATCTTGTGTCTTGTGTCCCAGTCATGTCTGGTGCTCTCGCAGGTGGAGGAAATGCGGCGGGACTTTGAGGAGAAGCTGCGATCCTTCAGCCAGGCGCAGCAGCAGTTTGAGACGGATAAACGGCGTGCGCTGGAGGAGCTGAGGGCCTCGCACCGACAGGAGGTGGAAGAACTCATCCTCAAGCACCAGGACCAGAGCGCGTCATCCTCAGAAGACCAGGAGAGGCTGGCCGAGCTGCACAGACAAGAGGTGAGACCAGCAGGGACTGTTTTAGGCTGTGGTTATTTCTCAGGATTACTTCTGGATCCAATGGAGTTTCAGCCAAATTAGAAAAACTGCTAAATTTGGAAATTAGAGCGATATTTCATATGGGGGTTAAAGCGAACTAGGCCAAGTGGCCCGGATCGTCGCCACAGGGGTGTGAAAACAGCCCGCGGTCACATGAAGGCATGAGGTCCTCTGAACTGTGCCAGCGCAACTTTGCTGTAGTACAACGCCTGGTCCAGCTGGTGGCGCTAATAATAACTTCAGCAACTACCACGTTGTCCGAGTTGAGTATCCGCTTCTTTTCCTGTTTATATTCTGCTACTGCAGCTAGCAGGCTCGAGCATGCAACGCATTGTTTGCCTCAGAGCAATGTGAACAAGTGTGAGATGTCTTTCCCCAAAATGCAGCGGTGGGACACGTGTGTGTTGTCTGTGTGTGCGGGCGTGCCGCGGACACGGGAGCGTGCCTTTATAGTATCGAGCGTAAAGCGCTGAGAATGAATGAATGAGAATGAAAGACAGAAAAGTGGCCGGTGCCGGAGGACATAAGTGTGTGTGTGTGTGTTCTGGCGATTAAATAAAGTCTTTTGAATGTCTGAAGTGTTATTGCAATAGCACCACACTGAGAGCGAGGGTCAGAACAGAAAAGAGTTATTCCTGTAGGAAACGCTTTTCTTTGGCCTTGCAGCGCAGCCACACACCCCCCTGCGCCCCTCGACCACTGTCCGGGGGCTTTTATGAAAGGTTTAACACAAGCGGATAATACGAAAGTGCGTGTCACAGGACGACGTAATGTGACGCACAATATCACGTGCCCACCACACCTCATCCCCCACTCCCCACCACCCGCCACACTGACCCCCCTCATCTGCGCTGGAAAGGGTGCTCAGGCCCACGTCTTTAATCGAGCCTGGGCACGGTTGCTGCAATCGTGCCTAGGCACACACGTCACATTGCACCTAAAGCCCGGATCTAATCCCTAAACGGGCCCTGGCCCACTTAAACAGGGCTTTAGACTGCGCATGCAGCCTAACTCATACCTAGTCTAAAGCTCAGAACAGCCTGAATCCAGTCAAAACAGTTTTACAACACGGCCTCTGGATAAGTCTGGTGAACTAAAGTGGCCTCTGTACTTAGTATTCACTTATCATCTGCTGGGTTTGTGTGCTCCTCATTCCTACTGTTCTGAAGCCTGTTACTGTATGCAGCACTGGAACGAATAAAGGATTTGCTCATTTTATACATTAGAATTTTTTCAGCACACAACATTAGCCATATAATACATTTATGTCTCTGGAGTTTGGTTTCTAGTTGGGCCTGTGATGTCGCACTCACTCCCCAGAGATGAAACTACCTGCAGATGCTGAATAGAGCCGTATAACGCAGCTTTTTGCTCCCCCTGAGACCTGGCTTTCCTCTCTGACATTTTGGAGCCAGATCTTGATCAAAGGGACAGAATTGAAAGTGCAACATACAGTTATACATAAAGGTGCAATGCTGTACACCAAAGCTGAAGCTATAGAAACATATTGGCTACAAAGTTTCGAGTATTTTGTATTTAGTATTTAATATTAGCAGTTGAAGTAGTGTTACATGTTACCATCGTTGATAACGTGCAAATCTGTGTACGGTGTATGGAAATATTGTCACAGATGTAAAAGGGTTTGGCAGGATTAAGGGGCGACAGTATCTCAGTTGGTAGAACATTGGCCTTTGAGCCTGAAGGCCGTGGATTCAAGCCCACCACAAGACTTTCTCCACCGACTCCCACTGATGTCTGCTGTTATTGTGTCCTTGGCAAGACACTTCACCTCTGGGAACACCAGCCACAGTGGGGCGGCTGCGGCTGTAAAGTGCCAAACTTCTGTTGTGTCCTTAGGCAAGACACTTCACCCCCATTGCCTAGAATGAGTCTGGTGTGCGTGTGAATGGTTGGTGGTGGTTGGAGGGTGCCTCGCTTCTGTCAGTGTGCCCCAGGGCAGCTGTGGCTACAGTAGTAGTTTCTCACCACTGTGTATGGAGTGAATAAATAATGACATGTAAAGCGTCTTTGAGTTTCCAAAAAAGCGATATATAAAACCGATGCATTATTATTATTACTATTATTATCATATGTCTTGACTTCTCGCCCTGGCATTATTTAGCACTAAAATTCATAATATAGACTATTCAGTTATTTTTTTGTAAAATGTATCAGATGTTTGAAAACATGTGACTTTAGATCATAACGACCAAATACATAAAGTAGAACTAACTGGAACTAGTATTTCCTTGTGTCCCATTCTCCTCATAAATATCAAATGTTGTCAGTCCCAGCTGATTCGCTCAGTGATAAGTTGATTCATTATTATATGTAACTCTTGTAACTTCCAAAATCAGCAATCTTCATCCATTTTGAGACCGACTCAATCACTTTTATCTTTTTTTTTTCAGGTGGATTCGTTGATGGAGCGCGTGGAGGAGCTGTCGAAAGATAAAGTCCGTCTGGTGGAAGAGTACGAAACCAAACTGGGGAAAGCTCAGGAGTACTACGAGAGAGAGCTGGAGGCCATGAGGCGCACCCACCAACTCACCACAGAGAACCTGCTGGCCTGGAAGAGGACCGAGGTACTCCTCACTCTCATTATTTATACTTTATCTAAGATTAGTAGTAGTAGTAGTAGTAGTAGTAGTAGTAGTAGTAACATCAGTCTCTTTATCAATGGCAACAGAAAATGCCACACAACCTCAATGTGCCAATATAGGCGTCTCTGCTTAGGCTGCTGCCTCCGCGACCTGTCAACGGATGAAGCGGAAGAAAATGGAAAAATTCTTCTTAAACTTGATAAAAGTGTAAACTAATGAAGACAACACAAAGTAACAAAAGAAAGACAACAACATGCTGTCTTCATCTTATTCCAAAACATCATTCTTAGCCCTGTAAGCTCTGTGAGTGACAAGTTGACTCTTAAAGCTCAGAGCTGATTGGCTGAGTGAGGGTGGTCCTCTCTTTTTCACTTTTCTGTCTGAAAAATCTGATCTAAAGCTGTGACAGAGGATCAAAGTACATGCATGTGAAAACGAGGGTTAGAAGTGACATAGAAGTGACATTTCCTCGATCAATTTTGCTGTGCTTTAAAAGTTAGGTACCCCAGCTTTAAGTGACTATGAAGACCTCTAGGATTTTTTAAATAATTCAATCTAACTAAGTGGGTATAGCAGCAGCAGTGGAGTTGAAGCTTGTCCGGTTGCTGTATTAAACTTGGGAGAGGAGCTTAAATTCTTTTTTTCTGGGATTGCAGCCAGGTCTCTGTCCACAGATTTTATCCTTTTACAAGTCCAAAAATATCCAGAGATTTTCAAGCGTCGCACTGAAGAGACATTATACCCAGCATTTTTTGTTATGTAACCGTGAGCAAAAAGTTTGGCAGCTTCACCCTTCATCGGAATAACGTTATGCAAAAACGAAACTCAATCCGCTCCCAGTCACTTTAGCCCTGCGTCTGAGCGCCCTTTGTAAGTATAAATCAAAAAGTAGAGTCAATTTGCGTTTTTTCTTGAAATAAAGCTGGGGTACTTAACTTTCAAATCACAATCAATTGAACTATGCAATACAATTCATGTCACTAGTTCCTCTCAAAACCGATTCAGATTGCTCTAGATTTCACATGTATTTTTGACCTCTGTCACATCTTGAGATTTTTCAGAGAGAAAGGTAACAAAGAGAGCACCACCCTCACTCAGCCAATCAGCTCTCAGCCCAAAAAGTCAAATAGTGACACACAGGGCTCTTTCAGTATGGGAAAAGCTCTTCTGAAGCCATGAAATTTCTCTCAATTTCAAAATGATTTTGTGAGAGCCGCAAAATGTCAGATTATAATAACTATGTTTTATTTATCCGGTTTGAAACTCAGCTTTAACAGTTTAAACACAAACAGGTAAAGCAATAGTATCTGTTAAATATACTAGTAAATGTCCTGTTGAATTTGTTATGACCCGGTGTTGGATCTGAAAGCAGAGACTGACAGTAGCACGAAAAATGATTAGATTAAAAAACCTGAAGGGCAGACAGGCGGTGGAGACAGGGAGCTGGCTGGCAGGCGAGACTTGACCTGAACACAGGGCAAAAAAAAGTTTGAGCTAAAGCATTCAATCTGACAAAGTTCACTGACTTGTGACATGGGATAATCTGGGAGAGACGTGATGTTCCAACCAGAGACTTAAAGCCAGAGGGATGAGGGTATGGAACAGGTGTGTGAGCCCAACACCTGCTGCACACATGCACTGAACAAAAACAGAAAGGGAGTGAGGAAGGAGAGCAAAACATAAGCCCGACAGAATTAGCAATATAGTTTTGGGTAGTAGAAGTAGCAGTTATTAAAGAAGTTTCTAGTAGATAAATAGATAGATACTTTATTGGGAGAGAAGGAGAAATTCAGGTGTCCATTAGCAGCAAAAATAAAATATAAAATTGGTCTATCTCTGGTCTCTCTCCGGTCTCTCTGGTCTCTCTGGTCTCTCTGGTCTCTCTCTGGTCTATCTCCGGTCTTTCTCTGGTCTCTATCTCTGATCTCTTTCTGTCTGGTCTCTCTCGCTGGTCTTTCTCTGGTTTCTCTCTCTGGTCTCTTGATCATTCTAAAAAGATAAAAATAGTAATAATCAGCAACAGCCTCAGGTCACAGCAGAAGAGATGGAGCATCCTCTGGGTGGAGCAGGACGGGTCAGAGCAGCACAGGTGGAGCATCCTCTGGGTGGAGCAGGACGGGTCAGAGCAGCACAGGTGGAGTAGCCTCTGGGTGGAGCAGGACGGGTCAGAGCAGCACAGGTGGAGTAGCCTCTGGGTGGAGCAGGACGGGTCAGAGCAGCACAGGTGGAGTAGCCTCTGGGTGGAGCAGGACGGGTCAGAGCAGCACAGGTGGAGCAGCCTCTGGGTGGAGCAGGACAGGTCAAAAGTAGTAGTAGTAAAATAGTAAACGCCTGGATTTCGTTTCTTCGTTGTAATACATTTTAAACAGAAAGATTGAAAAAGATCAGACCACAGGATATTTATCTTATTAAGAAATATTTTAGCTTTTTTAGTCACTAGTTACTTGAGTGAAGATGGTCCTCTCTTTTTGAATTTTTTTTTAACGCTGAAAAATAAATACATGCGTTTGAAAACTAGCGATAGACGTTATCGTGGACATTATAAGCCAGTGTTTTGTGTGTGTGCTTAGGTGGAGCTGCGAAAGGAGTTCCAGGCGCAGGAAGTAGCTCTGCAGAGGTCTCTGTCCAAACTGCGGAGCGAGGTTCAGAAAGCCCAGGAGGAGGCCAGGGAAAACCGGGACAAGACCAACAGACTGCAGACGTCCCTGGCCAACGCCGAGGGGACCATCAAGGTAAAAACAACCTGAGATATGCGATAGCAATCAAATTTTAAGTTTATTGAAAATACTTGAGCATAAACCAAAGAAGATATTGCAAAGTACTTCTGTAGGTCTGTACACTCACACTAAAAAATTCAAGCCCAAATATTTCTCTCTGGTCTATCTCTGGTCTCTCTCCGGTCTGTCTCCGGTCTTTCTCCGGTCTCTCTCTGGTCTTTCCCTGGTCTCTCTCTCTAGTCTCTCTCTCTCTGGCGTTTCTCTGGTCCCTCTCTCTCTGGTCTCTCTCCAGTCTTTCTCTGGTCTCTCTCTCTGGTTTCTTTCTCTGGTTTCTCTCTCTAGTCTCTCTCTCTCTCTCTGGTGTTTCTCTTGTCTCTCTTGCTGGTCTCCTTCTATGGTCTCTCTGATCTCTCGCTGGTCTGTCTTTCTCTGCTCTCTCTCCGGTCTGTCTCTCTCTGTGGTCTCTGTTTCTCTTTTCTCTCTCTCTGGTATCTCTCTGGTCTGTCTGATTTCTCTCTTTCTCTGGTCTCTTTCCGCTCTGTCTCTCTGGTCTATCTCTGGTTTCTCTCTGCAATCTCTCTCTCTAGTCTCTTTCTGATCTCTCTCTTTCTCCGCTCTCTCTCCGCTCTCTCTCCGCTCTCGCCCTGCTCTCGCCCTGCTCTCTCTCTCTGGTCTCCCTCTGGTCCTCCCAAAACTGTGACTAATCGATTCCCTGGTCATGCTTAATCATGGATCCTTTTGTGCAGGCCATATTCATTGCAAACCCAAATACTTCACGCCGCGGACGTAATCTTAAATCAGGATTAAGTGAGGGAACTTGAAACAAAGGCAAAAGTACACGCCCGGGGGGAGACTCTGAAAATGATCGAGTTCTGTGTCCATGGGTGATGTTTAAAACGTTTTATTTGTAATTACTTTGTTCAGAATCTCCACAAACAGCTGGAGGAGGCCATCCAGGACGGAGAGATCTGGGTGATGCAGCTCAAAGACACAGAGTACGAGCTGGAAGTGAGCAGAGAAAGGATCCAGCAGCAGGCCACAGAAATTCTACATAAAGCAGGTATTACTTTGACTACTGCTGCTACTACTGCTGCTGTTGCAATACTACCATTACTACTACTGATACCTCTACTAAAGCTGCTGCTGCTACTTCTACCACTTCTACTATAACTGCTAAAGCTACTACTACTTCTATCACTTCTGTTCTATATGCTACTGTTCCTTCTGTACTTCTGCAATTATAACTACTACTGCTACAACAGCTGCTACTACTAATACTCCATTCCTATTATAACCACTGCTACTAATGCTACTATCACTATTCGTTGTGTACAGGTCAGATTGGCTCCCTACAGGCCACACACATGTCCCACGAAGCCACGATCCGAAACCTGGACCAGGAGCAGGGGCGCCTGAAGGACAAAATTCGCAATATGGAAGGAGAGCGAGAGGGGCTTCTGAACCAGAGCCAAGCCTCCAGCGAACAACACAAGCAGCAAGTCCACAAGCTCGAACAGGTCAGCACCCGGCTCCAGGTTGGATTAAAAAGGCTTAGAGCATGCTGACATTGGCACTTTTTGGCCATTAGTCGAACAACTTTTGTGGCAGTTTCAAATCATGCAGTCTTCCTAGAGTTTTGAAACCCAAAAATGGAACTCGATGACATTTGTTTTTTACTATGACCACATAAATTAAATGTTATTCCTTGGATGTACGGAGCGTTATACATGTATATGCAGTCTTTGTAAGTTAATAGTGTAGTATAGAGTATTCCGGCCTCATTTTCCATTTAAAAACAATCATCAGACCTTTTTGACTCCTGGTCTATTCCTTGCCTCGTTCTGCTGTTTTATTGCTGATCTAGTTCTGGCCCTAGTTCTGTTTAGTCCAGAGCATTCGTCCACAGATTTGCTTGCAGTCTGAATGAGGCCTTAATCCTTCTCCTCAGGAAGAAAAACTTTACCCAAAACATGTATTTCTGTGAGTTCAGTTGACAGCACCTACAGCTACACAGAGGTCGGCTTTAAAAAGAATCTAATTCTTTACAAACACTTTGTCCATTTCAAGTCCTTTCCCTCCAAAATAAATATCACCTAATGAATATATTAAACAGCAAGGTTCTGTTAACGTTCTGCTTATGTTGCTATAGCTGTTGTTAGCTTACAAGCTTTGCTAATTGTCTGGTCCCAGAAAGTTGTAGCCTGGTTTATATTATAATCTCGTAGTCGATGGGTGTCAAAGTCAAGGCCCAGGAGCCTGATTCGGCTCGCGAATGAATTATCTTGGCCCCATTAAAACTAGCGCGCACAAAGCCTTAACAAAATCTTGGATTATTCATTTAATGTTGTTTTCTCTTTGAAGGGTTGTGGAAGTTGTCAAATGAAGTTGCTAACTAACTAATGCTCTAACAAATGAGCTGCTTGTTCTTGCATGAATGCTGGATAAACATAATTCTTACGTTGTCTTTGTCCCAGTCTTTGCGCGAGGAGCACCAGGGCCACGAGAAGGAGCTGACGCGGCTCCGATCGCACTTTGAGGATGAGACGCGCCGGTTCAAAGACGCCCAGGTGAGGGCGCTGGAGGACCTGGAGGAGAAGCACCGCAGACTGAGGGAGGACGCACAGCAGGAGAAGGAGGACGAGAAACAGCTGCTCATCAAGGTTTGCACCGGGGGGAAAGTGGCTCGGAAGTTGAAATGTTTTAGATTGAGTGTTTCTTTCACAAATCTGTGTTCTCAAGTATTAAATTCAATTACACAGGAAATGCAATAACGACAAACACATCGGAGCCATTGGTCCACAGGGAGCAGGAGGACCACTGTCCAGAAATGTTGATTAATGTCCAGAAATGTTCAGGATCATCACTGTCCTAAGATCCTTTTGCATCGGCAAGTTACTCTTGTTAAGGTTATTCTAAAAAGCCAAAAGTAAAGAAGCTTGTACTGACAAGCCCCGGTGGTCAAAGATGGCGGATTATTCAAATCAATGGCTTGTGCTCAGTAGCACATGTGCCGCCATGGGCACCAAAAGATTGTCGGAACTCACTCATACTTGGGTATTTCTCTGGTCCTCCCGGTTCTGGGCAGTGGACGACCTCCCATGATGCTTTGCACCAAATACGAACGTGTCTGGCTCTCGTGCACGAGGGGCCCATTCTGACCAATCAGGTGCTGATCAGAGCTAATCCGAGCGGGAATAAAACAAGCATAGTTTGATGCACTAAAGTGTGGATATTTTTTTTTTAAACTGATCGATTTAACAAGAAAAAAAGTTCAGGATGACAAGGGACACTAAAATCCCCACAATATCCGATCTTTAGGAAAGCTGTAGGTTCTCTGTCAGCTGAGATCGAGCTGTTTTAGTTTACAATGAGTTCTAAGGGACATTTTTCTGGGTAGCCAAAGTGCATTTAGTCTCATTTGGTCTGCAGTACCGCAACAAGCCCCCGATCCCATGGGTCCTTCAGCTTTAAGCTAAAAATACCCTATCCAGATTTTATAATACATGCATGAGTACTGATTATGTCTTCACAATTTTGTCGTATTAGAAAATACGTTCTAAAAGTCTTAAACATAAACAAAGACAACATTACCGACTCCCCTCCCATAAGCCCTGCGTAAACGGAGGGTCACATCGCCAGCTGCAGCGTTTACCACAGCAGAAGCTACTCAAACTTAAGTGTGTGCGTTTGGCTCTTTGTGAAGCTCTACAGGGAATAGAATGTCATCATCATGCTTGTATCTCACGTCTGTAGCCTATCAGGGCGAAAGCCAGGATCTCAAGTCGAATTGAACGCATACAGGACACACCTGCCTCAGAACATCTTGTTATGAGATGTAACGGAGGCCTTTTGACGAATCCTAAGACACTGCATTGAACATTATATTTTAGGATCTGTCTTAGAATGTATCCTTGTATAAGTATGTATCTAGTGTCCTGGATCATCACCACTGCCCTTAGACCCTCCTGCATTGGCAAGGAACAACCGTCTGTAAAGTTAAGACCCTTGGGGGAGGCCCATATATCTGCTCCCATTGACAGACCTGCTGTAGATCCAGGACTCAGGCTGTAGAACGAGGTCCGAGGCAATGCAGGACTGAGGCGGGAGTCAATAAATTGCGCGTTTTTTTAGTATTTAATATTTCCGAATACCACCATTCCTTATAGATTTTCTGGTTTGTGAAACATCATTTACAACAAGGGAAAAATCTCTCCTTTAATGAATAATGCATTGCAGACTACTATATCGCTTCCACTGGCCTCACCTCGGCTCCTGCAGCTGCTGTGTTTGTCCAGACAGCAGGGACCAGTCATTCGGAGCTTGTTGTGAGAAGTGTCTCGAGGTGACTACGGCGTCACCATTTGTTGTCACTAATGTTCGTTATCTCCAAATGAATCACCGGTAATTAATGAAACAAGGTTAATTTGAGTGGATGGGGCTCCTCTCCTGTTTCGCCTAAGCCCAAACATATCAGTATTCAGGTCTGGCACTGCTACCTTGAAGAGAGCGAGGAAAAGGCTGATGGGAAAAAGTCAATCTTGTACAAAGCGATAGAGAAATAGAACGGTGGAAGTAAGGAGACGCTGCTTCTATTACAGTGTTTTGTCCTAAATCATAAATACACAACAACACATCACATTGTGTTTGCTGTAAACTAGGAATTTGAAGATTTACGTTCATCAATAAACGTGATTGTTCAGGTCACAATATAATAATAATAAATGGCAATTTTGACACAAGCAATAATTCAATCCATATATAATAGTAATTAATAAGAAGAAGAAAAAAGCTCTGCAGCATTTGATTCACATAAGAATGAAATTGCCTTCTTATGTATATTTTAAGGTTCTTTTAATGGTTTTTAAATGTCTTAATGGTCTTGGGCCTTCTTATCTTTCAGATTTGCTTTTATCCTATGAACCTTCCCGGCCCCTGCGCTCCTCCGGCAGCAGACTTCTAACCATCCCCAAAGTCAGGACACACACTCACGGTGAGGCATCTTTCCAGCACTACGGCCCCCGTCTCTGGAACAGTCTGCCGGAGGAGCTCAGGGCCGCAGAGAACGTTCATATTTTTAAAAGCAGGCTCAAGACGCACCTTTTTAGATTAGCTTTTGATTAGTTTTTACTATTTCATTTTATATATTCTATTTATCCTCTATTATTTATTGTATTGCTATTGCTTTTATTCATGTATTGTGTGTTAGTTCATTTTAGTTTAATTTTAGTTTCACATTTTTGTGTTTTACATATTGTATTGTTATTGTATTGTTTTTAGTGTACCCAGTGTTTCCTCTGGAGGAGCCCTCTGCACTGGGAGCAGTGGTCGGTGTGGCTGTGGGGGTCGGACTCTTGGACCTGGTGGGGGCCTGGGGCCTCGGTTTCGGGTCTCCTCTGGATCCTGTGTCGTCCCCTGTGGCTACAGGCGGCTCTCTGCTCCTGGTGCAGACGGCTCCTAGGATGACGCTTTTTCAACTGGTTGCATCCGAACCCTGCCAAGTCTCTCATCATTGTTTTACGTGTGTGTGTGTGTGTGTGTGTGTGTGTGGTGTGTGTGTGTGTGTGTGTGTGTGTGTGTGTGTGTGTGTGTGTGTGTGTGTGTGTGTGTGTGTGTGTGTGTGTGTGTGTCAGAGAGTGTGCATGGGAGTGTGTGTTTGTCTGTGGTTTGGGATGGGTCTGTTGGGTGGTCGGGGGGAGGGGACATGGGTCGGCGGGATTGTTTTTAACCAAACTGTAAAGCACTTTGTGTTGCATCTTTTGTATGAAAAGCGCTTCATAAATAAAATTTGATTGATTGATTTGATGTATATAAATATGTTTAATGGCCTTAAACATATTAAAATTGAGACGCATTAGTAAGTAAATAATCTTTATTTATATACCGCCTTTTCACTGCAGATCAGAGTCTCAAAGCGGTTTACAATTGTTATTTTTGGGCACTAGTCTCTAACTCCACACAGAGATGGGAGCGGGGTCGCCAGTACAGGAGGCGCATGTACATATTTTTAGTGGTAGGGGAAACCGGAGTACCCGGAGGAAACCTACGCAGACACAGGGAGAACATGCAAACTCCACTCAGAAAGGCCCTGGTCCAACTGGGATTGGAACCCAGGACCTTCTTGCTGAGAGGCGAGAGTGCTATCCACTCAGCCACCGAGCCGCCCGGCATAATACAGCATTATACTGTAATATTTTTTCCCATCTTTTTATAACATTGTTCCTCATGGTTTCTCTCTTGTGTCCCTCTGGTCTCTCTCTGTCTCTCTCTCTTTCTGATCTCTTTCTGGTCTCTGGTGTCTCCCTGGTCTCCCTTTAGTCTCTGGTCTCTCTCTGGTCTCTCTTTAGTCTCTGGTCTCTCTCTGGTCTCTCTTTAGTCTCTGGTCTCTCTCTGGTCTCTCTTTCTGAATTTTCTCTGGTCTCTGGTCTTTCTCTGATCCCTCTCTGGTCTCTGGTCTCTCTTCCTGAATTTTATCTGGTCTCTGGTCTTTCTCTGATCCCTCTCTGGTCTCTGGTCTCTCTTTGGTCCTGAAAAAGTAAAGCGTTGTGAACAATCAGACCCTGCGAGTCAATATGTGAAGCTTTGGGCTGAGAGTCTATTTGGATGACTGAAGGTGGTCCTCTCTCTCTTTCACTTTTCTGTCTGAAAAAAGCTGATCTAAAGCTGTGACAGAGACCAAAAATACTCCCATTTGAAAACTAGTCATAGAAGCGAACCGTTTGACGACGTAGGGACTAATAAAAAGGTTAGCATTACACCGTTTCATCGTAATTGCTTGAAAGTGGATCACAACAGATAAGAGAAAGATAGATAGATAGATAGATAGACCTTTATTGTCCCCTGAGGGAAATTCATTTTCACAGGCACTGTCACATACAGGTTACAATAGACACAAGAGACACCGAAGGGAGGGAAACACATACAACGCAGGAACAAGGGCAACATTACAGACTGTTTAGAGCTGCTATCGCTGAAGGGACAAAACTTTTACTAAATCTTGCCCTCTTCCATCTTAGGGTTCTGTATCTGCGTCCTGAGGGCAGCAGAGTGAAGTGGGTGTGGAGGGGATGGTCTGGGTCAGTGCTAACTGTCCGGGCCATGCGTGTTAGGCAAGGCAAGGCAAGGCAAGTTTATTTATATAGCACAATTCATACACAAGGCAATTCAAAGTGCTGAACAAAACAAGAAAGCATTAAAATCATAAATAATCACAGAACATTAAAAAGAAAGATACAAATATAAAATCCCTCAGTTGTATGCACAGCTAAACAGAACTGTCTTTAACCTGGTTTTAAACATTGTCAGAGAGGAGGCCTGTCTCACATCTCCAGGAAGACTGTTCCAGATTTTAGCAGCATGAATCTGAAAAGCAGCCTCCCCATGTTTAGTTCTGACTCTGGGCACTAACAGGAGTCCAGTCCCTGTGCTCCTCAGAGTCCGGGCTGGTTCATATGGGACTAACATGTCACTAATATATTTTGGTGCGAGGCCATGGAGAGACTTGTACACAAGCAGAGCTGTTTTAAAGTCTATTCTCTGAGCCACAGGAAGCCAGTGCAGAGACCTGAGGACCGGACTAATATGGTCGTACTTCCTGGTTCTAGTCAGGACTCGAGCTGCTGCATTTTGAATGTACTGCAGCTGTTTTACAGCCTGTTTGGACAGACCTGTGAGCAGGCCATTGCAGTAGTCTAACCTACTGGAGACAAATGCATGGATAAGAATCTCCAAGTCTGCTGTGAGGTTGAGCTGAGAGAGGTCTGCGGTGGGGAGACTGATGATTTTGGATGCTGTGTGTGTGACTTTAGTGAGTTTGTTTCTGTTGGTGATGGAGAGCATGTTAAAGTAACAGGGGGAGCAGTAGAGGAGAATAGGTTGAATGATTGAAGAGTAGAGTTTCAGAAGCAGATTTGGAGAGACAGAGAGGGCACGGAGCTTACGAAGGATGTAGAGTCTTTGTTGGGAACGTTTATGGATATCTGTGACATGTTGTTCAAAGGTGAGTTTATTGTCGAGTGTGAGTCCAAGGTATTTGAAGTGATTAACCCGTTCTATTGTTTTGTTGTGTATGAGAGTGGGAAGCATTTTAAAAACACTTTCTGTATAGATATTTGTTATTATCCCATTCAGTCCATGAGCCATTGCACTGTTTTGTTGCCTATTTTCTGCACAGCGTGTCTTAAGACGTCAGTTACACACCCATACTCCACTTGACAGTCCAATTTTCCAACACTGGCCTTACATCCCTCTTCCTTACTTCTCCACATATTCTCCTCTTTTCCCCCATGCTCCTAATAGTCTTGTAGCTATTCCAACCTCACGGCTAATTGGCTGATTTCCATTGACGCGGACACTCGCCTGGGAGCGGACTGAACAGGCTCCGTATCTCTGTGGCTGCACTTGTCCATATGTATTTTCTAATGACGTGAAGCGATGACGAAGAAAGACCAGGGTTATGTAAGCGTTTAGGACAGTAGCTAGCGGTTTATGAGTCTTCTTGCTTTCCATTAGGATTTTAACGCAAATAAAATCAAATTCACTGTCCAGTCTTGTCCTTTGTGTAACTGTATGTGGCCTTTCTCTTCCCAGAATGACCAGGTCATTATTAAGAGCTGTTTTTTCAAGCTCGGGTACCTAATTTTAAAACCAACCAACAAAACCCTTGTATTAATTTCTGGTGCATACTGGGGTCGTCTTGCACAATTACTCCAATGTGGTTTTACTGCAAATGGTAAAAACATGTAATCTTTTCAAATCCACTAGTTCCTTGATCTCAAAACAGTTCGCTTCAATCTTTAGAGATGCTTTTTTTCAGACAGATAAGTGACAAAGAGACTCACAAGGCTCGGGTTTGATTTGTGGCACTCACTTTGGCTATGGATCTCCTTATCTTTATGTTGTCATCTTCAAGTTTGTAGCCTAAATAATTAAAACAGAGACATGTTCTACTACACACTTTATCAGTCAGACTACTACTACTGCTACTACACATATAAACATCCTTTTCTTACTTTTTGCATTTAAAGAAACTGTTATTTTAAAGGTCCTGATTACTTCTCGAGTGTCTGAGCAGAACGCTTCAGGACTGGCTCATACAAACCACAAATAGAATTCACTAATGCAACTTAAGCTTTCCACCGCAAATGCCAGCCGTGTTTAAAGATAAAAGGTTTAATATGGACCAAGCAAAACATTAGAACTACCAACAGATTTTTAGTATTATGCAGTCCTGCTTTTGACCTGCTTTAGAATGAGAGTCAGAATCCTCTCGGTGCAAACAGTCAGAAGACGATAGAGAGGTAGAGAATAGAGTGAGGCATAGTCAAATTCAGCCTACATTTCTAAGACATAACAATAAGATTATTACAATGTTACTATATACAACATACAGGTGCACTTGTCCTGCTTTAGTCCAGTTTTAATCCTGTTTTAGTCTCTGCTTTAGTCCTGCTTTAGACCTGCTTTAGTCCTACTTTAGTCCTGCTTTAGTCCTGTTGTAGTCTCTTCTTTAGTCCTGCTTTAGTCCTACTTTAGTCCTGCTTTAGTCCTGTTTTAGTCTCTGCTTTAGTCCTGCTTTAGTCCTGCTTTAGTCCTACTTTAGTCCTGCTTTAGTCCTGTTTTTATCCCTGCTTTAGTCTCTGCTTTAGTCCTGCTTTAGTCCTGCTTTTGTCCTGTTTTAGCCCTGCTTTAGTCCTACTTTAGTCCTGTTTTAGTCCTGCTTTAGTCCTGTTTCTGTCTCTGCTTTTGTCCTGCTTTAGACCTGCTTTAGTCCTACTTTAGTCCTGCTTTAGTCCTGTTTCTGTCTCTGCTTTTGTCCTGCTTTAGTCCTGCTTTAGTCTCTGCTTTAGTCCTACTTTAGTCCTGCTTTAGTCCTGTTTTAGTCTCTGTTTTAGTCCTACTTTAGTCCTGCTTTAGTCCTGCTTTAGTCCTGCTTTAGTCTCTGTTTGAGTCTCTGCTTTAGTCCTGCTTTAGTCCTGTTTTAGTCTCTGTTTTAGTCCTACTTTAGTCCTGCTTTAGTCCTGTTTTAGTATCTGTTTTAGTCCTACTTTAGTCCGGCTTTAGTCCTACTTTAGTCCTGCTTTAGTCCTGTTTTAGTCTCTGCTTTAGTTCTGCTTTAGTCTCTGCTTTAGTCCTGCTTTAGTCCTGCTTTTGTCCTGTTTTAGCCCTGCTTTAGTCCTACTTTAGTCCTGTTTTAGTCCTGCTTTAGTCTTGTTTCTGTCTCTGCTTTTGTCCTGCTTTAGACCTGCTTTAGCCCTACTTTAGGTCTGCTTTAGTCCTGTTTTAGTCTCTGTTTTAGTCCTACTTTAGTCCTGCTTTAGTCCTGTTTCTGTCTCTGCTTTTGTCCTGCTTTAGTCCTGCTTTTGTCTCTGCTTTAGTCCTACTTTAGTCCTGCTTTAGTCCTGTTTTATTCTCTGTTTTAGTCCTACTTTAGTCCTGCTTTAGCCCTGCTTTAGTCTCTGTTTTAGTCTCTGCTTTAGTCCTGCTTTAGTCCTGTTTTAGTCTCTGTTTTAGTCCTACTTTAGTCCTGCTTTAGTCCTGTTTTAGTATCTGTTTTAGTCCTACTTTAGTCCGGCTTTAGTCCTGCTTTAGTCTCTGCTTTAGTCCTGCTTTAGTCCTGCTTTAGTCCTGCTTTAGTCCTGCTTTAGACCTGCTTTAGTCCTACTTTAGTCCTGCTTTAGTCATGTTTTAGTCTCTGTTTTAGTCCTACTTTAGTTCTGCTTTAGTCCTGCTTTAGTCTCTGTTTTAGTCTCTGCTTTATTGCTGCTTGAGTCTTGTTTTAGTCCTGCTTTAGTTTTTGCTTTTTTCCGCTTTAGTCCTGCTTTAGTCTTGGTTTATTTCTGCTTTAGGCTTGCTTTAACTCTTGGATAAAATGTTCTCCAATTTATCACTTGGTTGCTGGCCACACCTCTAGTTTGCATACATTGGCACAGACGGACAGACCTTTATTAAAATTTCAATCAAATAGAAATATTATCATTGTTTCAAAGTTGCGTATTCCAGCTTTAATGTGGAAACGTTCTAATGAAGCTGGTTACAACTGATTTTCAAGTAGATCAATTATAGATCAATATCCCTTAATGATAGATAGATAGATAGATAGATAGATAGATAGATAGATTTACTTTATTGATCCCCGTAGGAGAAATTCAGGTGTCCAGTAGCAGCAAAAATAAAAAATAAAATTGGTCATTCTAAAAAGATAACAATAGTAATAATCAGCAACAGCCTCAAGTCACAGCAGCAGAGGTGGAGTAGCCTCTGGGTGGAGCAGTACAGGTCACAGCAGCAGAGGTGGAGTAGCCTCTGGGTGGAGCAGTACAGGTCACAGCAGCAGAGGTGGAGTAGCCTCTGGGTGGAGCAGTACAGGTCACAGCAGCAGAGGTGGAGTAGTCTCTGGGTGGAGCAGGACATGTCACAGCAGCAGAGGTGGAGTAGCCTCTGGGTTGCCTGGGAGATACTCCTCCTTCTACACATTTTGAAAACATTGGCATCGCTCTCCCTGGTCCAGAGGGAACACTGACAAAAGCGTGTGGAGAGACGAGTACGAGCCCAGTTCTCCAGTCCACGCTCTGGTCACAAGTCACTATTTGCATCTCCCAAAAACGCTCTGGTGTGTTTGATGAGCACAACGACATCTAGTCCCGTATCACCAGAATGATTGACAGTTAGGAGGCCCAATAGCCTTGATGAGCCCATGATTATGCAAAAAAAAAATTCATTTTGCTTCATATCTTTATCTGATATCATTTTTATCCTGTTCTTGTTTGTTCTACAGAAACTGAGTCAAGAGTTTGAGATAAAGCGGCTATCGCTGGAGGAGCAGAGGGACAGACTTCAACAGCAGCTGGACAATCTGAAAGAGGAACTATCGGCCAAACTCAACATGTCCAATCAGGAGGTAACAACTCAAACTCAACATAACGATATACAGTATATTGCGATAGACATATGTTCGATATCAATAGAAAATGGGGTCAGTAGAAATTTCACTTAAAACTGCTAAACCAGGACTAAACCAGTACTAACAATGGGATGAACATATACCTCCAGCTTGAAGTCTGTCTCCCATGACTGTGAACACGTGCTGCGAATTTGCCTGAGGCCCCCGCTGAAAGATCAAGGCTGTGTCATCACAGACAGAGCAGCCATCTTCCTGTGGACTCACCTCCTGCAGGAGGAGCAGTGAGGGGCTGGTGCTCTGTGAATTGGATGCAGCTCTGACTGCCACCTCCCCGACCCAGAATTGGATTAAGGGGAAGTAAATGGATGGATGGACTGATCTGAAACAGTTAGCTAATAGCAAGCTAACTATCACAGTTATATTTTACACTATCAGTCCAACCCAGCGGGCCGGATCATGGCTCAAAAAGGTCCATGAGCATGTGCGCTGACATACTTGCAATCTTACTCCTAGTCGGTGGGGGTGTACCTGGAAAAAGAATTATCCAATGCTTTGGTATGCTGCCTTCTTTCCTCTCAAAAACTGCTTTACAGGATGGTTTGCTCTTGGCTAAACGCTATGTTCCAGATGTGTCATTTTTTTGGACCAGACTAGTTTAGCCGCTGTGGACTTTTGAATGCACTTTTGAATGGACTTTTGTAGCTGATGCTGGCTGCTGCATGCGCAAATGTGTTTTTTTTACATTTTCCTGCCCCGTGGCCATTTTGAAAAATCCCACAGAAGGCTGGTAACTGGTGGCGCATTAGTTTCAAAGGCGGAGATATGCGTGACTTCTACTACAACTGATATACTACTGCTACTGCTAAAACTACCACTACTACACTACTACTTTTGCTACTGCCACTACTGCATATACCACCACTACTACCACTACTACTACTTGTGACAACATGTTTTCCAAATGATTTAAAACGAACAGAAGACTGGAAGAAAACAGTGCGTTATTCACAGGATAGGCCAGCCACGCCATCTTAAATGTTGTGGACAAGTGCGGCAACAGCTTCTGTGTTATGCTGAAAAGAAATCCCATCTCTGAATCAACGGTCCTTCTTTTTGAACAGAGGAGAGTGTCTGTCTGGTCATGCTCAGAGCGTATGGAGTTGTACTAATGCGGTCTTCATGGGCTCTGAGCGATCGCCGAGCAGGAAATTGCACATGAACGCCTCCTCGTCTCGCCTTGGCTATTGAGAACGGGGAGATTATGTTTAGGCGGCAAATTGGAGAAATGAGGAAACGTTTGACATTTCAAAATGTAGCAGGAATATTGTGATTTGAATTTGTGTTGGAGCTAAAGCTTTAGGCAGTTTTTTCAGTAATGTTATGTGAAACAGACAACAGGTGGAGTCCTGAAAGAGATAGAGGACTACAGAAATAAGATAACCAAAACGAATACAAGAAAAACGTGGGGAAACGTTTGTGAGGAGCAGGTCGCTGTATAGAAAGTGTCCTGGATTCAGCTCATGTAGGTGCTTTTATAATCTAGTGTGTAGAAGTCTCCACGGCCTCGCACTGAAGTACATCTGTGACATGTAACCAACTTGGACTCTGAGGAGCACAGGGACTGCTGGCCTCCTGCTGGTGCTCAGAGTCAGGACTAAACATGGAGAGATTTATGCAGCTAAAAGTCTTCCTGAAAATGTGAGACAGGCTTCTACTCTGACAATGTTCAAATCCAGGTTTTGGTGCTTTTCGTATAAACTGCCGTACGACTAAAGTTGCCCTCCCTTGCCTATTACCATGCCCTTTTGCACAAGTTTTATTATGAGGTAAAATCCAAGACCAAACAGAGACGATTTATTGCTGCTAGTTTGTGTGTGAAAATGTCCTCATCCACATAATGAACCTCTGGGCTCCTCTGTGTCGCCCCCTGCAGGTTTCCCATCTGCAAGAGCTGGTGCGTGAAGGGGAACAGAACATGAACTCGGCTCAGACTCAGATCTCCTGCTTAAAAGAAACTCAAGAGAAACTCAGGATCGAACTGGACGCAACGAGAGCCAGAGTCCGGGAGACCAGCAACCTCCTCACAGACCTACAGGTGAGAAAGCCGCACTAACAAGGAGATTAAATACTGAAAGAAGGTCATCGTTATGAAGCTATTTTGTATGATATCACATGGGTGTTTGGGCCATAAGATTATAACAGAACAGAAAATACTATTACTGTCTTAATAAATAGGTCTTTGGTTTATTTCTATCTCCAGAACACTATAGAACTGCATATAATAACATATTTAAATATAGCCCCCACACTGTAATACCCTCTTTAACCAAGACAGTCCCACTGAGATTTCAGGATAAATAAATAATTGTGGTTTTCTTGACAGTTTAGATGTAGAATGCTCAGAATTTACTTTTGCTTTACTGGGATTATTTATTTTTATTTTGAAATGATCATTTTTGGACTATATATAACAGGGATCTCCAACCTGTGGCTCTGGAGCTACCAGTAGCTCGCCAGCCCCTTTTAGGTAGCTCGCCAAAGGATTTAGAATTCAACAAATTACCTTGAATTAATACATTTTGAGTATAAATATAGGGTTATACAGTATTATGGTATATTTCTGTGTTCTCCATGATTTGTCGTAAATATTAGATAGATTTTTATTACGACTGCAAAATGGAGTAGCTCTCTGCTTCTTCTTTAGTATGAAAGTAGCTCTCCGAATGAAAAAGTTTGGAGACCCCTGATAGACTGTATAATCTCCTCCATCAAAATGAGCTATGGTGACAGGCCTTGTTTTAGCAGCACAAAGTTTAACCCCAGATGTTTTTTTGTCTTTTCAAAGTGCTGCTTGATCTGCTTTTGTTGCTGTGTTCATATCCTCCTGTTGTGTTTCACTAACACGTGGTTCTTGACTCCTCCTTCGCTCCACGCTCGGCCTCTGCTGCTTCTTTTTAACGCAGTCAAAGCGATTTAAACAGAAAATGTGCTACCTCTTGGTAAGATCATGGATTTGAAACTCACATTCAGTTTTTTCTCACTGCAACTTCACCGTATTCTGCGTAGTTATTGTTAGAGCGCCCTGAAAAACACTTGCACCGAAGAAAAATAAACCTAAGCTTCCTCAAGTCGCAAGTTTAAGTTTATTTTTCTCTTTTTAATCAAACACAATCTATATTCACCTTCATGTAATTTACTAAATCAACTGGACCACAGCATCATCCTCTTTTTTTATCCAATAGTTACGACTTATTGCAATATCCCCTTCTTTGTGTATTTGAATATGTATTAGTGGGGTGAATTTAAAGCAACAGTTCGTAACTTTCTGGAGGTGGAAAATGACCTGCATGATAACAAGTTAAAACCATGGGTCACACTTTAGTTTAGTGCTCACTCATTAACATCTAACGAAGTGCTAAGTTGTTTATAATTGATGGTTAATTAGCTCTTAATTGGTATTATTATTATTATTATTTTAATAGTAGTAGTAGTAGTAGTAGTATTTATTCTATATGGCCATTCAACAGGTCAGTGTTAGGGTACAGAAATTAGCACCTTCTTAGCTGTTAATTAGTGAGAGCCAATCTATACTATTACTAAACGATGTAATGGATATGATTAATTCTCTACTGTGGGAGATTACAAAACATTTCTGTGCAAACAAACTGGAAGAGGCCCGTCTCGAGGACATGTTTGAGTAAGGTTTGTGGAGTCGCTGCAGGTCCGGACTGAAAATGGCAACAATGAGCTGTGATGAAGAGAGTGTGCGCCTTGGGATTGAAAAATCATTTCATGTTGGAGATTCAGCAACCAGGCAGCCCAGATCGGCTGAAAACGTATTGTAAAACTGTCTGCTTTTTCTGTCTGTGGATTTTTGAGGGACTACAGATGGAAACCAGCCTTCATGGTTAAGTCTGGCATAAGTACGTGGTCACATGTTGATTAATGTGCACTGTCCCAAACAAATAAATAAAACATTTACATTACCCAATATCCCCTGGAGGGTGACGCCGTGGGGTGGATAGTTCTCATGGTGTCTGAGTCTCCGAATGCAGAGAGAAAAGCAAAACGGCTTTGATTCACTTGCTTTTTGTAGCAGCCGGATGCTACAAAGGAAGAGGGAACTCTGGGCGTCTCCGCTCAGACTGCTGCCTCTGGTATCCGTTATAAAGCAAAAGAAAATGGATTGATGGATATTTTTATTCATAGGTTTTCTGCCAAAACATGAACACATGAAATGCCAAGTGTATTCCAAGAACATGTTTCAGGGTCCAAGGGCTAAACCAGGGATAAATCATGGCTAAACTAGGGCTAAACCAGGACTAAACCAGGACAAAACCAGGATTATCCTAGGGCTGAACCAGGACTAACCTAAACTAAACCAGGGCAAAAATAGAGCTAAACCAGGGATTAACCAGGTCTAAATCAGGGCTAAAGTGTGTGTAGTTATTAGAGTGAACCCACCAATCATGGCTCATTCGTCTGATAAAGTTGTATATGATTTTGTAAGTAAATACACATCAGGACCAAACCAAGACTAACCCAGAACTAAACCAGGTCCAAAATACTGAACCAGGGCTACACTTAGGCTAAACCAGGGCTAAACTTGGACTAAACCAGGACTAAAATACTAAAGCAGGGCTGGCAGTGGCACAAACATGCAGACTGTGTTTATGGACAATACGACACGCTCTCCTCAGTGTGGATAAATGCTGCCTCCCCCACATGTCACTCAAACACGGCTTCTCCCGGGATCAGCCAACAGACGTGAATCATCTTGAAACGGAGACAAACCACGTCTGTCACAGTATTCGTCTCAATACTACTGCTTTTAACAAGTATATGCCGTTATTAGAGTGAACCCACTGATCATGGCTTATTCTTCTGTACAAGACCAAAAACCAGGACTAAACCACAACAAACCAGAACTAAACTACTAAACCAGGGTCTAAACTAGGACTAAACTACTATTTCAGAGACAAACCAGGACTGAGCTAGGGCTAAATCAAAACTAGACCCAAGCAAAGGACGCACCAGGAGTTTTCAATGTGATATAGTTATCTAACACAATGATATCTGGTCCGTGATATCTGCATGGTCCACATGAATCTGGTCCACATGAATCGTGGTCCACATGATAAATTGAGGCAAATGAATGCAATTATCTATTAAGTGAAAACAACGATTTTTTGTTATTCTGCCAGGACTTTAAGATAATATTGATGAAGCCATGGGTATTCTGCAGCGGCTTATCAACCTCACATTTATTTCTTCAGACATCAGCAATTCAAATTTTCTGCTTAGCCATATACGGCTAATTAATATTTCAGCCCATGCATAGCCCCAGGTTTTATACTTCAATTATATAAATGTCCTTCCCTTTAACTAAACCTTTTTTATATCTCCAATGCTGTCAGAGCGATGGTTTTCTAATGAGCTCATGAACAACTGGAGCCTGTGGGGTTTTGTGGATGAAGTTGAACTCACGAAGAGAATCGCCTGTAGCTTAAAACGTTTTATAAATTAATATATTTTTGAATGAGTCATGCTACAGCAGGGATCGTATCTATTGTGTGATTACTTTTACATGCCAGTTTCATAATTAAATCTTGCTTGTAGGCAAGAGTGTGTGGCGACTGATAATGTTTGTCACAATCCGTTAAACTACCTAGACCAGGAAAGCACTCGTTAGAGCGCCAACATCTGCAAGAGGTTGCCGTTACACTTCCTTTAAAGCTTCCAGATCCACCCCTTGTTGCCCATCACTATTTGAATGAATGAATGAAACCTTTTTAGTAAAATTTTAAGACAGTATGTTGCTTACAGTCAAGGACAATCTTGAAAAAACAGGTTCATATTTCAATGAGACTCTCCTGGTAAGATAAAGGTTAAATAAATAAAAAATAAGACAGGCAGACAGACAAACACAACACTTTTAAAGAAATTATACCTGCCTCATTAAATTTTAAAGTTGCCTTGTGTATGAATAGTGCTATACAAATAAACTTTGCCTTGCCTTGCCTTGCCTAAAGCTTTAGGAGGCCCATATCGAGAACACAGCTCCATGGACAAACAGGCTGTAGATCCAGGACTTGAGGCTGTAGATCCAGGACTGAGGCTGTAGATCCAGGACTGAGGCTGTAGATCCAGGACTGAGGCTGTAGATCCAGGACTGAGGCTGTAGATCCAGGACTAAGGCGTGTAGATCCAGGACTGAGGCGTAGATCCAGGACTGAGCTGTAGATCCGGACTAAGGCTGTAGAT